GTCATCACGATAGATTAGCCCGACCACCACGTAAAGGTAGCAACAACGGTCAGGTGAAAGTCAAACAATTACTCAAAAACTCACAATAATGTATTGCATCTTCAACTAGCTGAACGTGTAATTGTTATCGATTAGTCCCATATTTAACAAATAAGTTTCACTATTCTCATTGCAATCAACTGTAAGCTAGCAAGGGTAAGGACTATTGATAAATGTCAAATTCAAACAAATCAGTTCACTAACCGATTTTAGTTTCCATTTAAAATTATATTCAATCATACAATGATTATTTATCAAATTCATTATAATTCAGAACAATAAATACATCTAAGTGAACAATATCCTTCTTAATCAGATCTTCAGTAAAATATCCTCATATGTTCAGGAGCTTTAAAATGAATTATGTGAAAACTATTGAATGATTCAAGACAATTTATAAGTTAACAATAAAAAGAAAAGATTACATATTTGAATATATTGCGTAAATGGTATAGATTGATATTAAGGGGGTAGCTATAGTAGTAAATATATAAATAATGAATTCTATGATATTACCGTTATACAAAATAGCTGAAACATTTCGAAAACAAACTTACATAAAATATATAATTAGTATCAGAAGGGGCTATGTGAAGATTTTAGTATTTTCAATAGTTGAGATCATGAGTCAATTGAAGCTAGACCACCATGGAAAACCTGGAAGCACTGGACGGCCGTTACGTCCTATATACATATAAGTTAAGTAATAATTACACAATGAAATTTTTATTATAAATTAACATTGAATAATTGGATGAGGGTTAATAATAATCACGAATTCGCTATGTTGCATAATATCGTGTAAATTCAAATGTCAGTTCTATGTATTAATTAGCATGCAACGGTCAGAAAAATCAGTTGAAAGTTGGTCACTCAGTGAACGGCTGTCAACTTTTCCGCTGTGATTTTTTGTTCAGATCATTAGTACAAACATTACAATTATGGCCGCCATCCTACTAACCATTGTTGTTTTCGTTCTACTTTCGTTAATGAGAACAATTATTCCGCCTATTGTGTGGAATATCATGCTACCTATTTTCCTGAGTATTTTGATGACTATTGTCATAATAAACTCGTTATATTTTGTGTTATATTTTCTCATAACTGTTACACTAAATATTATGACGATCATCATATCTTCGATTAGCTGCCTAGTATTTTAACTTTCATGATGATTGTTATAATAATTAGGATAACAGTTATCAAATTAAGATCTCATGCATGTTGACTGTTTTGCCAGCCACCATGCTGATTAGTATAATCTAAATGCGTGTTATAATGCAATTTAAAAATGATGCTTATTTGTATTTTCTAATTATTTTCCTTTGATAGGGGTAAGATGGCAGGTCACGAAGGAGAATATGAGAAGAGAATACTGGACAACAATGTGATTCTAATGTTGTACAAATGTGATTTGATATTGTATAATATAATTTTAAAACAATCCACATTTGTGTTTTCAATGTGTTTACTGGTAGATAGTGAATGTGGGCAGCATAGGGCGTGCTTGTAAAAGTCTCACCACTGGGTAGGGTCGGTGAAGTGTAGGAGTTGCTCGGTTGTGTAGCTGTGGTAATTGTACTAACTGATGATTCCTCCGTACTTGATTGCGCACTGGTTACGAATTGCAAATATAGTACATTCATTTGTACTCATGTAGTTCTGACTGACTTAAATAGGAGTGTTTGTGATAGTGTTCGTTTGTACATTAGTTGCACACATAGTTATATGTCCTAAATGCAATGGAGGGATGAGAATTGAGGCTGTAAAACTTGAAGTACAAAGTGATCCAGTCTTTCGCATGAGACGAATAAATCGATATGATCTTCTGGAATATCAGCACATTTAAATGGAGTGAAGAACATGAGTTATGCTTTCGATGTCTGCCAAGGGTTCTTTCGAGTGATGGTGTTCTTCGCACTCACTCTCCTAGTGTACATTTTGTACTTCATACTGATACCTCAGCAGTGAGTATTGGTGCAGTTTTGGAACAGGATTTTAAACCAGTAATCTGTGTTTCACGCAAACTTACTGTTACTGGATAGGGATATTCACAAACGCAGTGAGAAGCATTAGTTGTGTTTTGTTCCGTCAAATGACGTCATGAATATTTATTTCGAGAGACGTTCACTATTGTTACAAATCATGACACTTTCAAGTTCGTTTGTCATCCTGAAAAATCATTAGCACGTTCCTCAGCTACTATGGTTCAGTGATGGGGTATTGGTTTGAGCGCCTATGACTATACGATTCAGTAGAAAAGTGCCAAACACATTCAACATTTTGGTTGCACCTCTTTACAGTGATTACAAGAAAAACCAGTTGATGTTGTAATCTGTTTATTTGTGCAACCTCCAATATTGAGCCGTCAAGATCTCACAAGAGAAATTTATCGACACATCCGATGTATACTCATCGCTATATGAAAAGATTGGAATGCTAGTCTAAAACATAGATTTCCTGTCTATTTTTGAAAACGGGGTGAGTTATCCACTACTTATAATAGTATTCTGTGATTAAGTGATGTCCTTGTTGATCCTCATCCACTTTATAAATCTGTCGTTGAAGATGTTCATAGTGGACATTTGGGTATTGAGAAAATGAAATCCTTGTCTAGGCTAACATGTTGGTGGTCAGAGATAAATACAGATATATGTCGAACAGCAAACAATTGCGGAAGATGTTATAAGTCGAAAAGTCATACTTCGAAGTGGAGTATCGTTCAGTATCGTCTGAGTACTGGCGGTGAATTCATGCAGACTATTGTGGTCCATTTCTGGGAAAATACTATGCACTTGTTATTGATTAATTTTCTAAATGGCCTGACGTTTTTCACAACTTCACCATATTCTGACATCACAATTCAGGCAATAATAAAATATTTTGGTCGGGAGGGTGTTCCAATGGTATTAGTGATTAATAATGGCTCTCAGTTTGCTACAGATGCAGTCACCACCTGGTTGAATGGTATAAGGTGCGGACATTCGTTCGCCACCCCTAGGCACTCTTTTCCTAATGGTCAGTGTTAATTCTGTCGGAGCGTCCGAATAACCCCGATTGAGATACGCGCAAAATCGAAGTTCCAAAACAACAATCTGTCTACAAAAGCGGTTCTCTGTTAAATAATACACAAAATTTAGTTACAAACCTCAACTTGTGAGGTGTCTAGGCGTTTAAACGCGTCCTTCAAGAATGAAAATAGCAAAGGCTTCCTGTAAGAGTAACATAAAGAATAATTACAGCATACGATAGTACAAAGACAGCCGATAGCTGTGTCTAAATTGGACAACAGTTTATGAGCAATCGAAACTCGAACCAAGAGCAGAAAATATAGGAACTGTTGCGTTTAAACAAATACACAGCCGTGTATAACCGTCACAGTAATTAAAGTGCAGTGATCATAATGATAAATACAATAAACATTATAAATATATGTTACAGTACAAATTACGTTACAATGTAAGTGTGAAAATTGCAAAGGATACAACTGCTTACTGAATATGAATAAGTAGTATAAAACAATATACAAAAGAGTGGAAAGAGAGTGAGAAGGAACAATGTAAGATAAACTTAACAGTCAGATATAAAATGTTTTGATTAGAACGTTGAAAAATTCTATTCATCCCGTTGCTGTTTCAGCGTTTGATGGATTGGAGAGGGAAGTACACATATTTACACTTCAATATAGAAATGCTAAACATTCTGTGTTGAGACTCCATCAAAGCTATTAAGAGGAAAGATTCTTCGTTCGATTGTGAGATGTTAAGTCTGTAGAAGTTACATATTATCGTGGAAATGATGTTATACAAGCCACATGGACTATGGTGAAGAATGTTGGAAAATCTATGGTTCAGATTCTAGATATCAATTATTTCAGTACACCCAACCGACATGTTGATCGAATACAATCCCACGAACCATGTGAGTCTGTTACACTTTTGGTTGTTAATTCTAATACTCATGAGTACACTCTAGATCATTCAGAGTAAATATCCAAATACTCAGTCGGACAGGCACACGATGTACATAAGGAGTGGTACAAACGACTAAGAAAGTTGGGATTCCAGTTTAAGCTGTGGCCTATGTAGTATTTGTACCAATTAATAATTCCTTTGTACTTGATTGCTCGTTGATTACGAATTCCGACTACAATACGTTCATTTATGCTCATCTAGTTCTGCCTATCTTAAATTGCGCTGTTTTGGGAATTCCTAGGGAGTACATAAAATTGAATAATTCGAGTCAACATATATAGGCAGCTTATAGTCCATTATTTCATTCAAAAGCATGAGACTTTTAAATTCTAATGTTGCAATATGATCTACTGAATTCTCAGTATTAGTGATTAGTGGTTATAAAGTGTATACACAAGGATGTCGTGAATTGTTTATTATAGATGACAGCTCTTCATACGTATCTTGAGAGATTTACGTAAATGAAACATAATAGTCAACAGTAGATTTGAAAAGGCCTAAAGTATAACTGTCGTTATTAGCTTCCAAAGAAAAACCTGATGCTTTACTCAAAACTGATAGCTGCCTGTGCTACGTTTAGTGGAGAGTGTGATCCAGTATTTCATAAAAGATGAATAATCCCTTGTCGGTTTTGAGAATTAGTGTACAAGTCATTGAATGATTCATGTAAGAAGATAATACATCTGGCAGTCAAATCTTCACAATCGGTTACTCCTATGGCAACACCTTTGAAATTTAATGAGGAAACCCATAGAATATGTACTGATTACACGTTAACACTGAATTCACGTTCGCTAAAGCAAACAAGTACCGTAGTCGAAGTTGTAGATATCCTTAATTCACTTCCTAGTTCTAAAATGTTGTCCAAAGTTAGTTTGAAACATAATAATAGTTTCTGCAGATGTTAAGTCAGTTTGTGATGAAAGACTCATTATCGGAAAAGAAGTGAGAATCAACTCATTCCATGCTAATACATTTCTTTGGAGGTAACTATTGACAAAAAAAGTTAGTTTTATTCTCAATTTGTTTATTCATCGGTTAAATTAACAACATTAAACAAAACAAGTTACATGATAGAGAAAAATGAGAATAAAAAGATAGATTACGTTATCACAGGTAATGGTTACAGAGATTATTGAAAGACAAGTACTACTGTTCTATTGTGTAAAGATCAATCTGACCATTCTGAAGGCAACACATAATCCTCACAGGATCTTTATTGAAAGTGACTAATTTCGTAATCTGCTCGCCAGTTGGATAAATTTTGATCTAACCCAATAGAAAAAATAAAACAAACACGTGAAAATGTTTAAAAACCAATTGAAATGACAAGTCAGTCAGTCCAACGTAGAACTTCGTACGTACGTACATTAGTTCGAGTTGCCACACCACCTTAGCACAGAGATGCAGTTGTCGATTCACGAGTATAAGCAGTAATCGGGAAGATTAGGATTTGGAGATGTTATTTAAAGAGTACAATCCAATGAAATAAATTTGGAAAGAGAAAACAGAAAGGGACATGAAAAATTCAGAAGATTAGAATTTGGGAGAACACATGGAGTGGATGCACCTGCGCCATTGCAAACGATTTTGAGCCATGTCATTCAGGGTCTCTAACCATCGGTTGCTATCATCTCGTGGTCCCCAACAAGGTAGTCTACACCTACCAATATGATTCAGTCTACTTGTCAGTGACTTCATGGATTTGAGCCATGTTTTGGTTTGGCCGCCTCTAGCTTTCTTCCAACCTACTCCTATACCACCGAACATAGCACGTCAAGGTAGTCGGTCGTTGGGGATACGTAACACATGTCCCAGCCATCTCAACTGATGAAGTTTCACCGCTTCATCAATCTTTTTGCCATCCTTACCTAGTACCCGTTTCCTAACAACTGCGTTACCTACTCGATGGTCCCAGGATATACGAGCAATATTTCGAAGACACCTATGATCAAATACTAGTAACCTACGAATATCCTCTACTCTTACCGGCCATGTTTCACTGCCATAAAGTAGGACGGAACGAACTGCTGTGCAGTGAACCCGTCTTTTGGTTGATAGACGGATATCTCGCCTACGCCATAAATGACGCAAGTTGGTAAAAGTTAGCCGAGCCATCTGTATCCGTGCTGAGATTTCGTCACACACCAGACCACAAGGGCCGATGAGACTTCCAAGATAAGTGAAGCGATCAACACGCTCAATTACTTCACTCCCTATCATTAGTTCGGGTGTCAATCCAACCCAATCCTGAAGCAACATTTTGCATTTTGAGGGGGAGAATCGCATCCCAAACATGCTTGCATTGTTGCTTAGTGTGGTCAGAAGACTCTGCATCTTGTCAGAGTCTTCACCAAATAAAACTATGTCATCAGCATATTCCAAGTCAACAAGTGAATCTCCTGGTAGAAGTTCAACCCCTGGAAATTTAGATGAGGTAAGTGTTATCCCTAAAGGTACGTCAATGACAAAGTTAAACAAAAATGGGGAGAGTGGGCAGCCCTGACGAACACCACTTGAGGTAATCAATTCTGATGACAGTTCGCCATTAGCTCTCACTCTACCAGTTGTGTTCGAGTAGAGAGCCTTTATAAGGTTAATGTACTTCTTTGGTACTCCTTTCAGTGACAAACACTGCCATAGAACCTTACGATCAACAGAGTCGAATGCCGCCTTAAGGTTGAGAATTATTACCATTGTGGGGCGTCTGAATGTGTGTCTGTGTTCTAGAACCTGACGTAGTGTGAATATCTGGTCTATACAACCACGTCCAGGTCGAAAACCAGCCTGATTTTCTCTAGTCTGCTCTTCACGAGCTTTGGTTAGGCGTCGAAGTATTATCGAAGCTAATATTTTAGACACTATATTAATCAAACTGATTCCTCTGTGAGTGTCACAAGAGGACGTTTGTCCTTTCTTATAGACTGGCACAATCAGTAATTGAGACCAGTCAGATGGGATTACGTCCAGTTCCTAAATTCTACCTAAGACCTCAGTTAATCTCATTGCTAATACTGAGCCACCATTCTTAAAAATCTCAGGAGTAAACCTGTCAGGACCTGCTGCTCTCCCTCGTTTCAGATTTCCTATGGCTTTTTCAACTTCGTAAAGGGACGGAGGACCTACATTAACTTGCCATTCAGGTTGGCTGGAGATCGTGGGAAACCGAAGTGTGGCTGCAGGCCAGTTGAACTGATCCCTAAAGTGTTCTGCCCATCAATCCAATCTCCTGGATTGAGAATGAATATGTCCATCTTTCTCTGAGAGTTTTTCGCTAACAGTTGAGTTCCTAATACCGGTTTCCTTAACGAGTCTGAACAATTGTCTGCTATTACCTTTTGCCGCTGCCTTTTCCATCTCTCTTGCTTTCGCTACCCACCACTGTTCGCGATCATTGCGTAGACTTCTTGTCAGGTTGCGCTTAAGCTGACTCCGCTCTTCGTTATGCTCAGATCCAGATGGGATGAGCTTTCGAGCATCTATCAGTGCGGCAGATGCTGCTGAGATCCAGTGTTTCTCCCTAACCTTGTGGTTTATAGTACTAGCAGATATCACTAATGTTTTCACAGCTTTTCGGATATCATTCCACGCTCCCTTGGGGTGGGCATCACTTACATGGCTGCCTAACGTTTTCTAATCGTTCCTGAAATATATTCTTAGCTTGACTATCATTAAGTAGGACTCTAAGGGGTTTTCTTGCAGCGTCTTTTCCACATCCAGTAAGGCGCAGACAAATACGCGCTCGTACTAGAGCATGATCTGAATCTAAGCATGTGCTCCAGAATGAGCGACAGTCTTCTATCGAGCCCCTCCATCGGTGGCTGATAGCGATGTGATCTATTTGGGTCCAACGTTGGGACGAATTAGGGGGTCGCCATGTTAAAAGATGTTTTTGCTTATGCTTAAAGTTAGTATTTGCAAGGAACAGGCGGTTATCTGAGCATAGCTGCAACAGACGGACGGCATTATCTGTTCTTTGAGCCACGACGCTATAAGATCCACCTAGGTGTCTTTCCCTATCGCTTAGTTTACCTACTTGAGCATTAAAGTCACCGGCCACTATTACTACATCCGAGCGCCTAGCTTTTAGGAGAAGGTCGGAGAGCTTTCAGTAAAACTCATCTTTTACATCATCTGCGCTGCAGTCAGTGGGAGAATAGGCAGAGACGACGAAAAGGCAACGACGAGTGTCCCTATCTTTCCGGATTCTTACTGTTTCGTTCAGTCGGACAGCGCACAAACGACTGTCTACTGGGATCCACTCTAAGAGAGCTAGTTCTGCCCTAGGACTCAATGCTATACCTACGCCGGCGAGGCCACGGAAAGCAGAATCAGGGCTTCCAGATACACGAAGCGTAAATCGAGTCGGTTCTTTATTTTGGCATGGTGAGGTCAAATAAATGACGCTACTTGGATCCTGTATGCGCGTTTGGGAGACGCAGCACACATCGATGGCGCGAGATTCTAGAGTCCTAGCTAAGGACGCTTGTTGTCCTATTTGGCACAGTGTTCGTAGGTTAAAAGCTCCTACGTGTAGTTTAGAGCATGGTTTCAGGAGACCAGGAATAGCGTTCCACGTAATCGAATCGTTTGCCCTAGGGTGCGAGGTGATAAAGAGACGTGGGGAGGGTTATTCATGGAGATAAGAGAGGTATTAGGAGGTGTAGGAAGGATTTGAATGTGACCAACTTGGTATCGTGTGCTGTTACGGGTATGAGGGCTGGTGTCACTTCCCGGCTGCCGACACCGTGGAAGGGTATTTCTTGAGGAATCTGAAAAGGAAATTGGATTAGTATTGGTCTTAACGACCTGGGAGCTTGACCACAGAGCCCAAGGGACAACTGCTTGAGGCCGGTCGTGCACGGCCTTTTTGTGGAAGGTTTTTGACGTGTTAGCTCCGTTCTTGTTGAGACCTTACCACTGGAGACGGATATCCGTGAGGTAAGGCGAGGTGTGACATTTTTAGGGTCGACCTTTTCTAACCTCACCCCTCCTTGTGGGAAGGCAGCATCGCTGTTATGCTGGTTGTCCGAGGGAAACACCTTACTGCTGTCACAACTCTGTACAGTCAGCAGTACGACTTCGCCCTCAGACCTTGAGTTGCTGCTTTTAGTCTTACCGTTCACCTATCGACCTGTGTGGCATGGTAGAACCTACAGGAACATATGTTCCGGCCAATATAGCTCGGTTGGGTCATCACGATAGGCAAGCCCGACCACCGCGTCAAGGTAGCAGCTTCGGTTGGGATCGAAATGACAAACCACTAGTTTTTTCAGTTTGTGTCATTCTTAACTCCTCCTGGAGCCCCTCTGGGGCTACTGCCAATCCCAAGGCTGGATGAAGGAGGAGGGTTGTACATAGGGTTAGAGACCTAATCCCGTAGAAAACTAACTCGCTAAAAAAGCGCTAACCATAAAAAAACAATTCAGACACGGCGGTGTTTCATTCTTTCATTATAAAAGTCACTTAAAATAAACAAAGAAATTGCACTCTACAAAATATTCTAAAATATATTCCACTACAATTAAGCATACAGTCACCATCACCACACGCACAAACACACACATACACTGAACAAAGTGCAACCTACTACTTCTAAAATGATAAGTAGGCAGATTTTTAGAGAAGTTCGGAATCACAAAGATCAAGTATTAAATATTTATGCATCGAATCAAACTTTGAGTGTATGTTTTTTTTACCGAGAATCGATCACGAGAATAGAAAGAGGAGGCTGCAAAACGAAGGAGGAATACATTAGAAACGACATAATGTATGCGTCAGTATAAATCGCTACACTACACATTAGTAATAGCGACAAGCAACTGATAGAAAGAGGGTCAAAGAAGTGGAAATCGTATATTGTCGTTAATATTGTTACATGTCTATGTGATTGATTCTGACTTCTGAACAGATGAGTTATTCTAATGTTTTCTGTCATTCTGTCACTTATGCATGTGACCTTTAGCATATTATTCAAAGTCCAAATAAGATACCAATCTTAGCACTTATGATGTAGTGGAATTTTCCTGAGATTATTCAAACTAAATGAGGTGCACATATTATCGTTTCCATCAAATTGTATGACTTAGATTTTGGCTTACGGTAAATTGTCTACACATCCTTCTCTCATCTCTACAATTCCACCATTCAAGTCATCATCACATTTGAAATACTGACAAGTTATTTTTAGCATTGACCAACCATTACGATTTCGACACAGATTAATTACTTGTTGGTAATCAATTACATGAATGCAGATACATCTTGTGGCGAATACGATCTGTAATGATACTTCACGCTTCGTATTTCTACTTAATACTGATGTATTCTAATTTAAACTTATCTTTTACAACAAAACAAATCTGACACTATTTCAGCAGTTATGGCATTTAATAGTGTTGTGGTCTGAATACTAATCCAGTCATTATTTGCACAGCTAGTTTCTGACTAACCTAGATATTCTTCGAGAGAGATGAAACAGACTTTGTAGATAGCTTCATTCTCAACAGTGTGATAATGGTGTTTATAATTAGTGGATATTCTGTCGGCAGTCAAACTGGTTCAGATAATGTTATGTTGGCGTAAACTTTAGCTACATTAGCAGTTCACGTTTCAAACCAAAATATGCCACCTATACATTTGTACTTTACTTGAAATTAAGAATTTATAACATTTGCACATTCTCTCTATCTGTTCTGTTGAGAGATATGGAGGCTTTAACCAATGTAATAATATGCTAGGTGTGATATATTATTATTATTATATTACCTATACCAACAGATACTTCAGAATATTGTTTGTTCAATGTACCACCACTGAAATATGTATTATGGTGTACATGTGTGTCGTGTAAATAAGTGTGCACTCAAAGATTTGTTATTTACAATAAGTGTGTGTGTGTGTGCATTTATCATTCTTTGTAAATGGTTGTGGAGATTGTTGAGCTTAGACTGATATCATGGATGAATCCATTTTGGACCACCATTGAAAACCTGAAAGCACTGGACGGCTGTTTCGTCCTGTTTGTATGCATCAAAGTATAAAATTCATGGAATATTTTACAATGAGTTTAATTAAATTCTCACTAGTAATTAGTTTTAACGATACAGTATCTTTCCATGCTTACGTGATTTATTCTGACTTTTGAACAGATTAGTTGCTCTAATCTTTTCATCAATCATTCGGTCATTTATGTATGTGATATTGAGTACGTGTGTATAATAGTATTTATGTATCTATATAATTGCTGGTAACTATTTCATAAATGTTTAGTCACCCTTTATTCATTAACTTGTCCATTTCAACCGTTTCAAATTATCTTTATTTCTCTTCGTTTCTTTTCTTTAATCTGCATTAATGAATCTCTAAAATATGCGTTTTTCGATTAATTTTGATATTTAACCTCTTACATTTACAGTTTTGTTAATGGGATTTTTCCAAATCGTGTATACAAATTACATAAGATCCACATTTCATGAACATAAATGTTTGACTTTATCGAGTCAAACAATGGATGGAACAAAATAGTTGTATCAATGAAAGAAAAAAAAACAACTACATAGACAGAATATAGCAATCCATAGAACGAATTCAGTTAAAGAGTAAAAAGTACAAAGTAATATTTAAATATGAGGATTTATAGGATGATATTTGCTGTAACCAGATTTGAGTTACTGAACTAAAAGACTCCAAACATTGGTCATGAGAATTGTGAAATTCTCAACACGGCCAAAATTAACAACCAGTCAGTCACCATTGGCCATTTTTAAACTGACTCATTTTTATGTAACTGTAATTACTATACTGGGTAACAACTGATGGAAGTATTTGCATAATGCATGCCCTTAGAGCAATTTAGTTGACAAAAGTTCACAACCTTACATAATAGCTTACCATAGTAATTTATTAACCAAGCCCTATAATTATTATAAACTACTTGGTGGTTCCACTATGTGATACTCAAGATATTTATGATTACATACCAGTAACCCATGTACCCACATATGTCCTCCTCTTCCAGAGGCTATGTACTATACATAGAAACACAACAGTTGTGAAGATATTGAGGTACGATCATAGTTGGGAAGTTTTGAGATCTTCCATTGCTATTGTTATTATCTCACCCTTTGGTGAGTACATATCTTGTATATTACTTTAAATAGTACACATTTATCACATGCTTAAAATTTGGCCATGGAAAATTATCTGAAATACCATAATACAAGTGTGTATTTGTGTAAAGTACATTTTTAATCAAGTTGACATAAATTAACTATCGAATAGATGATTTTGTCAAAATCCCAGAAAAAAGTTTAATATAAAGATCATATGTTTGTGGAATAAGGATAACGTTATGATACTTAAAACGGTGAGAATATAATTTTTATAGACGACCTCTGGGAGATGCTAAAATAAACTTGAGAATGTTCAGTTACCAACTAGGACTAAGTGAGGGTTATAAACCAGTGTGAGAAATAAGGATTATAATTTACAGTTGATGGTTAGGGTTAAGAATTAGATTTACGGTTTTCATCACGAACTGACATAGTCTATAATGCTAAAACTCTATTTAGCCAAATGGATGAATGCTTTTCACGCAAACATTCGAGACTCTTTATTTTAAATCTGATTATTTCGTCCATCAATTATAGTCCCGCCGCTTTTGAATCTACCGTTTGATTAAAATACTCATATTGCAATATGAAACATACGATAGAAATAAGGACAGTGATTATTCACTTCTTACCTGTTCCCATTTGCTTAATTTCGATTTATTACAAACATTGATAGAACATTTCAACAAACGTAGAAAGCTATCCGACGTTGCCAACAATAAATACACTATTAACTTTTCACTATCAAGATGAGTTGAAGTGATACAATAAGCAGTGACTTGTAAATCCATTCCTTCCAGCTAAGGATAAACACAGATACAATGTGATTATTTATGACCAGTAAAATTTGAAATAAACAATCCAAAATACCTCTTTATAAACTTTCCATCAAACAGTAAATTCATTTGGTGTGACATTGGAGATTAAAAAGCACTAAGCGGCTTCTTCATTTTTTGATTGACGATTGATTCCTTAGTGAAAAGCAGCAGTGATCGCTCCAGAAATAGAATTCACGAGCTTAAAGTGTTTCTGTAGAGTCTATTATCAAATTTGACCATTGATTCATTATATTTATCATGTTGTGGAGATAGTTGAATTTCATTGAAATTATGAGCTGATTTAAGTTGGATTGACACTGAAGATCTAAATGTACGGGATGGTCAATTCCTCCTGGCACGGGACTCCTCAGAAGTACAGATCTACGAAAATAACACCAAGGTCTAGACGCTAAGCGTTCACGCGTGGAACAGAAGATCGTGGATCTGACTCCCACGTGCGCAGTCGTGGATATGCACTGCTGCGGAGTCTCATATTGGGACGAAACGGTTGTCTAGTGCTTCTAGGTTTTTAATAGTTGTCTAACTTGGATCAATTCATGATTTCAGTGAAATTCAATAATCTACATAACCCTATATCCACAGCTCATTAACATAAAATAATTATACATAAAATCTATTTCTAACAACATTAACACAGATGAACTGAACTTTTTCACATTGTAAAACTATCAGGTTATGTACCCACCTACACATTCATTCAAATATCATAATGACATGATATTAACATGAACAGACTTGTTTTAATTGTAGTAAAAAACAAACATTATGTGAACCTAAGTTAATCGATTTCTAATGCATAATACTCACTGTTTACTACAATTTATATATTACATTGTGGTTATATTCATAGCTTATTAACAAGGCATCTAAGAACATTACTAGAATTATGAAAAGTTCACTTCAAATCTATGTTCAAACAAGTCATAGTAACTATTGAAAAGAATTTCTTGCTCTACTTTTATGCGTAAACAATAGTAACTAACCGAAATATTCAATAGCATATGCTCATCACTATCAAAGAAGATAATCCGTGGTTCAGATTGTAATTTGCTTGTTACAATATAAAATCTAAATGAACAAAAAAGAAAAAAACAAAACAAATAAAGTCAGTTTGCCAAATTATAATGTTGAGTGAAAATATGAAATTTAACTGGAATGAGAACGTTCAGTCACTTTTTTCCCTTCTTTAATCTACAATAAACAAAGAAAAATTGGTTCCTTTACGCACTCTACACAAATCTCTATTTCATTCATCTGATAAGGCTTAGTATTGCATGTCGATAATAAAGAAAAGATTATAGATCAAGTGTATAGCTATAAAACAGTGTATTAACGAGCAACTACTGCAAGACACATTGGGGATACTGAACAGCATAATATATAATCATAAATAGTAGACTATAAATATGGTAGTTAAATTTAGTCATATTACTTGAAGGAATAGATGAACACGTCTCGGACTGTGAAGCTGAGTGACAGAGGATCGAATACATCAGGAATCACCGCTTACTTTAAGACTCAATGTACACCTTGCTGTCCAGTGCCGAATAGAATGAAACCTAGAGCCAAGGTTTACTGTCAGCTCAGCTTTTTGTACTTACGATTATGCATACCTTTTCTATACAGTTTTAAACGTCATAAGAAGCCATTGATTCTATCCGTTATTCTCTGATATAACGGCTGAATAAAAATATTTACTATTTCAGCCTGTTACATTACACTAACACAATAATACGGCCGGTGAACGAGGTTTTACTACTACTAGTCTGGATACTCGATTGCTAAGCTGTATATTGACAATACCACGTTATAATAAATATACAAATCACAATCAATAATACAGAATCGGAACATATTCTGGACAACACTATATTCAACACAATGACTAACAGTCACACTCAGTGAGTCCAAAGTAGAAAGCAATAATAGGCAAGAAACCAAAAATTAAGTAGTCAAAAAGATAGGTATCTATCTATTCACCATCAATGGTCAGTCACATCTATTTTCACTGTCCACATATACTAGAACGAGACGGCCGTCTGATGCCTCCAGGTTTTCAATAGTTGTCCAACTTACATCAGTTCATGATTTTAATGAAATTCAACGGCCTACACAACCTCTTACTGAAAAACATTCTTTATGCTTAATTACGAAATAAGTTCATGACAAATATTTCTATCCATTTGTTTCACAATTTTCCATTTTCTTTCTTCTAGATATACTACTGTATAAAATGGAACAACTTGTTAAAGGTATTCTACATTGTTTATCATCCACATCAGTGTTATAAATAAGTTTTAGTAGGTGTTCAAAACAATGCTGTAAATATATTTTTGTAAGAACAAAATGAAACTTACAACTTGAAACTATTTCCGTTAGGTAAACAAAGTGGTTCAATTCTGTCAATATAGATATTTTCCAAATTATTGATAGATCCACGAAGTGGTGTGAATACATTTGCCTAAAATTTTATACGTAAGTATAAATGATAATTATACTTAAACTAAAAAAACAATTCAAATGTATGAGAAAAAAAGACGTTCGGTTCCAGATGTCCAGTTCGAATTCTATTTAAAACATTATCACATATGTGTATGATCTTGGTGTATTTTCATGAGTATCATTGAATTAAAAACACTACATAGTATTTAAATCTCTTAGAAACAAATCAGTACCCTTTTTGAAGTCAACTCTGAATATATTCACGAATTTCTATGTATTTGTTGGATATAGTTTTCGAGATATGCTCACTAAGCCTTACTCTTTACAAAATGCAAGATCTTAAACATTTGACTATCAGTCAGGGCCATTGATGAACAAAGAAAATAAACAGAAAGAGAGACTTTATATATATGGATGAATCAATCAAATATAAGATAACAGGTCTTGGATTGTAGCGCGAAATTCATTCATCCATTTGGCTAGATAGTGTTTTTGGTATTTTAACTGATGTCAGTTTGTGATGAAAACTCTAGATCTAATTCCTCACATTCTACTAAATGAACTCGGCTATTGGGTCTTAACTGAGATGAATTGTGAAAGTAGAGAACATGTGTCACTTACATAAACATAATATAATTCACCAAGTTATATACTGAGTTAAAACAACTACGTAATAAGCGATATTACTTAACTCTTCGTACAATAAGTTGTAGCATAGATTTGTGCATTTTGAATTAAATCTAGTTAAATTAATAATTATAAAAGAAATAAGTATTATACATAGAATATCACTTACACTATGATCATCAAATGGATGAAATAAAGCTGATCCATTATGTGCTACAAGTATACCATCCTGATATGTACATAATGAACTGCACCAATGACTTGAAAGATTACAGCTAAATAAAATAAATATCATGTAGCAATATACATTTTAATAACATGCATTATTCTAAATAAGAAGAAAATTTCTAAAGGTAATAGAATGGTAAACAACAAACCAATAACATTTAGTGAACATTGATAGTTTTCATTATGATTAAAATCAGTTAGTCTCGGAAAGCATTCACTTGAGTGACAATCTTTCATCATCATTCTAAATTGAATCCTTAAATCACGTTGAATATACACAAACTCAATGGAAATATTTGTTTTTAAACAAGTAAAGAGTTATACAAGAAACACCTATTTAAAACTGTAACATGCAATCAAACCCAAAATCATCAGGTTTCCTGACGAATGCTTTACATTGCGATAATCATTTTTCATATGAATTCCTAAAATGTTAATCGGAGCTAGTGAAAATTTTAGCATATATATATGCGCCACATATTCGATCTATATGAAAGCTAGACTACTACACGGACACCCAAACCGAAGCAGATGGTTTACTTAGGGGGCCACATCCCGAGCCTTCCACTTGAAGATCTAATCCACAAGGTAGTGGAACAACTTTGGGAGATGCGGTCTCATGGTAACCAGTGACCAACAATAGGTTCGTACACCGTTCGTTCCTTCAGGATACTGGAGCATATGTGCACCATTTGTTTGGAATCAGGGTTTTCCAACTCCCCTAGGTGGATCCTCAAGATCGACGAATCCGGTTGAAGTACCAGACATTCGCTTTCTGTCCTCTCGATTTGGTAAACAACACCGTCGCCACGAGAAGGCAGTGATGAGTAAGACTTCCCTGGCAGAGACTGTATACGCATGATCATGTAAGAGCATTTCGAGAGGGTGAAATGACTCTCCCCTCCATCGGCTATATCAAGGCTTTCAAGATATCGTAAAGGACTTGGTGATACATTTTAAAATTAAAATTTTCAAAGACTATGATCATTTATGTTACTTTATGATTCGTTCGTCTAATTATTCAAATTAATGAAACTTAACTATTCACGATTATATTCTACCTTGAAAATTACGCACATCATAGTTTAATTTCACTAACACTGAAACTAATCAACTACATAAATACACTTAACCAACACAATAAATAATCAATTTGATCTTTATTTCAGTTATTGAATAGATCAAACATATAACTACTACAGATTGATGATGATGATGATAAGTCAATGAGAATGATTTATTTAGCTGTTAGAGAGAAAGAGAGAAAAGAAAACTCCATAATGTTATTAACATAAACAACAACAACAACAACAAATCGTGAATGAACTTTGATTTTCTTTCTTTTTGTTTTTTGCTTTGAAAATATACTTTTTAAGTAATATGGAAATACAAAACTGTGCTGAATTCCTTCAGATAATGGATTACTTAGTCACTCAAGTAAATGGTACATTTTACCGTTATTAATTATCTAAATATGATATAAATTATATAGCTGAAATTTAAAAAAAAATTTTCTCTATGAACTTTAACGAGAATCACAAGAGTTTCACAATACAGTATGGAACAAAGTGTGTTTGCACTGACTCATTTGAAATACCTACAATGTATACTTATCTACTCTTTTTTTGTTTTTACTACACGATAACTATTCAATATTTCAACTCTAATTTACTCAAGAACTTTGTAATCTTGTATACAATATATTTTCACAGACCTATTATCACATCATGGATGCGCACTGCTGAGGAGTCTCATACGAGAATGAAACGGCCATCCAGTACTTCCAGGTTTTCCATGGCGGTCTAGCTTCAATTGACTCATGATTTCAACTATTGAAATTACTAAAATCTCCACAAAACCCCTTCTGATATTATCACATCTGTTACATAGATGTATGTGTGTGTATGTTGTATAATTCTTTATCTTATCCGCTGCATACGCTTATTCGTAATTGGTTTATCTGTTCATATAAATTTTCAAAATATGTTTCCGGAACACTCGTATTCCAACAGTTGATAAACCCTTGTTGTTCTAAACGTGTTAAGTTGACAAAATATACACGACATTAGTAAGGATATATGTTTCATTAGTATCATCATTCGTCAGCTTATGGAGTCAACATCTATCTGTTACCCTGAATTGCCATAACGCATCAGTAGAACCAGATGAAATTAATAAGGAAATTAAAATCGCCGGCAGGAGCAATAATAGTAAAAAAGACTAAGCGTAAAGAATGTAGTTCGAGATGATGGAATGGAAAGTTAGATAGGGAGAATTATCATGACTTATGATCGAGAGGAGGAAAGAGGGTGAATGTGTTAGCACAACTCGAAGACTCTACATATTAATATTTAATATTTAAAATCAAGTTAAGATTAAGCTAGTGAACGTGTGTTCATGATAAAAGATTCACCATCAATGAGAAAGCTTCGTCAACGAACAGTGAAACATGTAAAACAAAAGTATGAGCATGGAATTTAACTGATTATTAGTGAATATTTAAAAACATATGAGCTATCTATGGATAAGCGGAATGAAAACAATTTACAACGTAAAATAAAACGAAAAGAAATCCACTTACTTATCTCGAACACGAAGGTGAATGAGTTCATCGTCTGTACGTTTAAATGGAATAATGACAATTTCACCATTGGACAAAAGTGCTACAACACCACACTGATTCATATTAACTGGTTCATGATGTAAAGCAGACATTTCGACAACGATATGGTCTGTTTTAAATCTTTATCGAGAAAAGAAACATGATAACAAAATCACAATATCATGTTAGAGTAAAAATAAAAGGATCATGGAAGCACTTTAAATAATGAAATAATACAAATAACTACATTTCGTTATGAGAAATGTAACCTATTTATTAAGTCAAGACATTTGTATCAAGCCATAACGTTTATGTAAGGATTAGTGTTATAATACTCGGGTATCAATAGCTAAGTTGCTAGAATAATGTTTGAACTTCAAACCCAACGGTTGAAAAACAAATAATTCTCCCATTCATTAAGTCACTGTTCGATGTCAACATATAAAAGAAACATTTAAAAAATGAGTGTCTAGGTTTCAAAAAAATGTCTGCATAAAAGCTACTTCATTCAATGAGTTCAAGATTGAATTAAACAAAATCCAACTTAATGTCTTTATGTAAAAGACAATGTTCGTCTGCACGGAATATAAAAAGATGGTTAATTTTTTCAGATAAAACTCTACTGAAAGAAAGAAGCCACAATTAAGTAAATTGAATTCTGATTGAGATCATGAACCGATTGATGTAAGACCACCACAATTGAAAACCTGGAAGCACTGGACGGTCGTTTCGTCCTATTGTGGGACTCCTCAGCAGTGTGGTAAACTTGTCATTGTCATGGTGATGCTTTTCAGTTACATTATCTCTTTAATATGGTTTCTAATTTAAAGTAAAAAGAAATCCTATTCTCATTCATTCAAGATGTTAACTTAATTTTTTATGTTAAATAGGTGCCTTGATTATCACTCGTTTGTGCTCACTAGTGATTAGTTTCGTGGGAAAATTCTCGTAGTTCTAGTGAGAAGCCGTGACCAGTGGAGCTAATCCTTGTCGGGTAGAGACAGGTATCTACCTCAGTACAATGGAAGTTAGTCGCGCAATTTCGTGGATAGGTTGATGTTAGAAACTATCACCATTGGATGGCGGCTCAGTGGTCCAGTTGATTAAGCGTTCGCGCGCGAGACCGGAGGCCCTGGGTTCGAATCCCGCTCGCGGGATCGTGGATGCGCACTGTTGAGGAGTCCCACAATAGGACGGAACGGCCGTCCAGTGCTTCCAGGTTTTCAATTGTGACGGTCTAACATCAATCAGTTCATGATCTCAATCAAAAACTTAATAATCTCCACAACCCCTATACTAGTAAATTGAATTCATTGAATATACTCTATTAGTTCATACTTGAATCAAACCATTATAAGTGACTGTACTCAATAAAGCAAGGATGAAGAATAAGAAAACAATAAGGATACGGAATATCCACGACAGCGAAGCAATAAGTATTATACGTTGCATTATAGGGTATTAAAACAAGCATTCTGTACTATTATTAATATCTATCAAGTGACTGACACCCCTCTCGCCTATAGGAAACTGGAATTTGAAAATGAGAATAATAAATATGACTGAATTCCACAATTCATAGCAACATTTCTCATTGTCTGGCTGTCTAAATGTGAATAAATATTTATTTCTAAGTATATTAATGACAAACATAGTTTGCACTGTGTTTGAATTACAAAAATTACTATGTGAGTGAATCAGTAGAGTTAAGTAGCTGTGAAAAAAACTGTCTCATATATGCACCCATGAAACAGTGAGACACCTTGAGAATGTCATTAAAATCATAAACTGACCCAACTTAGAAAACTATTGAAAACCTGGAAGCACTGGACGGTTGTTTCGTTCTAGTATGGGACTCCTCAGATGTGTGCATCCACGACTTCACAAGCAGGGGATGAATCTGCGAACTTCAGTCTCGTGCACCACCACTTAACCTCTAGATAGCTAGTCGCGGGTAGGAGTGGTATCCGGAAAGTGAGTTTTTTTCCTATTTAAAATTAGTCCGATGGATGTACCCTCATCCTAGGCGCTACTATTCACACTAAGTCTTGAATCGAATACCTTTCACTTCAAACATTCAACGGATTATTTCCTTAAGCTATAGAGTCCAATATATCTCTTTTCTAGAAAAAAGTACATATTTCAATAAATATTATAACATTACCTTTGTATTTCAGCATAACCATCAATTGTTTTAATTGACCATAATGCATTTAATTCAACAATATTTATATCCAATTGTTTTCCATTTGAAAATAACTCTAATAAACTATTTTCCAAATCAGTTTTATTAATTAAAATATCATGATTAAGGTGTATGTGCAATATTAAAATCTCATAACCGAAAGCAATAAAAATGAAATAATCTATTTTATTTTCTTCATTATTCATTGTCCATGATTGTGTAACAATACTGTTTATACTGTATCTTGGTTTCATATCTGAATTAGTTAAACGTATCAATGGTTGATATGTAGTGGTAGCAGTAGTTATAGGTTTGATTGATTGAGAAGTTGATGAACCACGAGCAGCCCAAATAATACAATCACCATCAACTGAACCAGTTATACAAAGTTGTAAATTCTTTGTCACATACAGATAATTAGCACATATAACTGGTCCAGTATGTTGAAGAGTTGGTTTACCTGAAGAAAACACGTAGGGGTAACATTGTGAGATTTATTAATTTTTCTAGGAATATTATCAAAAACATATTAAAACAAAACCATCCTTCTGTAAATTACAGGAATTATGAAGGATCTTGGGATAGTACTGTGGTTTTACCTTACTACAAGCTACACAAACCCACCAATGACAGCAACGACGATGATAAAGATCAATTCTATGAAAAGTTACAATCAATCGTAGCGAAGAGCCCAAGAAAGGACCCAACAATTAGGATGGGAGACCTAAACACCAAAGTCGGAATGGACAACACCGAATATAAAGATATCATGGGACGAAATGGACTGACTAGGAGACACGAAGCAGAATGGTGATAGATTCTCAAATTTATGTACGTTCCACGAAATGGTTATAGGTGGCACAATAGTCCAACACAAACGTATGCACAAAGCTACATGGTTCTCACCAGATCACGCTACACAGAACCAGATAGATCAATAAAAATTTCAGAAGCTTCATGTAAGACAAGAGAACAAGGGAAGGAACTGACACATCTTCAGATCACTACCTGGTGATTGAAAAGATGAAAATGACGCTAAAGAAGCACTGAGTAACGAATACAGCCTTCCTTCAAGATACTCACAAACTCAACGAATTTAAAATAGATCCCAGTAACGGGTTCTAAGCCTTACAGGATCTACGGAAGAAAGAAACTACGATGGAGCATTAACTTCAACGTGTCAGGAGGCTCTGGGCCGCAAGAAGCTTCATCATAAGGAATAGATTTCTATCGAAACCGGAGTCAGAATTCAAGAAAAGAAAAACAAGAAGACAGCAATTAACAACGACCGAGCAAAAGCAGAGAAAGACAAGGCACAAGCTGAATGCACTGAAGCGAAAAAGCAAGTGAAGAGGAGCGTTAGAACCAGCAAACAGCAATACGTGTAAGAGCTATCAATGACACCAAAAAGCTGCAAGAGAAGGAAATATGAAACAACTATGTGACACGACAAAGAAACTAGCAGGGAGAGATCGGTCAAAGACAAAGAAGGCAAGCCAATCACTGAAATTCAAGGACAGAGGAACAGATGGGTGGAACACTTTGAGGAACTCTTGAATAGACAGCTCCATTAAATGCACCGGACATTGAAGTAGCACCTACAGATGTCACCCCAACAACGACAAAAGAAATCAGGATGGCCATCAGATAAATCAAGACCTGACAATATACCAGCTGAAGCTCTAAAGTCAGACATAGAAGCAAATGCAAAGATGCGCCACGTTCTATTCAGAAAGATTTGGGAGGAAGAACAAGTGCCGAAAGACTGGAAAGAAGGACGCCTTATCCAGATACCAAATAAAGAACTACAGAGGTCTCATATTACTGTTAATACCAAGAAGGATTGCTGAAATTCATGAAAGATTTAGTAGACGTTCAACTTCGAGATCAACAGACCGCATTCCATAAGGATCGGTCGTGCACAGACCAAATCGCTACACTGCGAATCATCGTTGAACAATCATTTAAACGAAACTCGTCACTATACATCAACTTCTTTGATTATGGGAAAGCATTCGACAGTGTGGATAGGAGGACCTTATGGAAACTTGTTTGACACTATGATGTACCTGAGAAAGTCATCAACATCATTCTTAATCCATACGACGGATTATATTGCGAAGTGGTGCATGGAGAACAGCTGACAAACGCATTCCAAGTGAAGAGCGGAGTCAGACAAAGATGCTTACTTTCCTCTTTTCTTTTTCTTCTGGTGGTTGACTGCTTTATGAAGACCTCGACTTTTGAGGGGCAGCATAGAATACAATGAACAGCTCAACATTAATTAGAAGATTTAGACTTGGTAGATGACCTAGCTCTTCTATGCTATACACACAAACAAGTGCAAATGAAGACAACTAGCGTAGCAGCAGTAGACCTCAACATACACAAGGGAAAAACCAAGATCCTCAAATATAACAAAGAGAACACCAACCCAATCTCACTTGATGGAGAAACTTTGGAACAGGTGGGATCTTTCACGTAACTAGAAAGCATCATCGATGAACAAGGAGACTTTGATGCAGACGTAAAAGCGAGGATCGGCAAAGTAAAGACAGCATTCCTACAGTTGAGGAACATATGGAACTCAAAACAGCTGTCAACCAATATCAAAATCAGTACGAACGTCAACAAAATCCTACTGTACGGAGCTGAAACGTGGAGAACTACTAAAAACTGCCATCAAAAAGGTACAAGCATTTATAAACAGTTGTCTATCCAAGATACTCAATATCCGTTGGTCAGGTACCATCAGCAACAGCCTACTTTGTTAGAGAACAAACGATTTTCCAGCTGAAGAGGTAATTCGGAAAAGACGTTGGAAATGGGTAGGACATACATTACGGAAATAATCAAACTGAGTTACGAGATAAGTGCTAACTTGCAATCCTGAAGGGAAACAGAAAATTGGAAGATCCAAGAACATGGTGCGTTGGGAATCGGAAGCAGGCATCAAAAGAATGAATTGCAATTGGAAAATATTGTCTAGGATAGAGTTGTATGGAGAATGCCGGTAGGTGTCCTATACTCCTCCACGAGTGGTAACAGGCGTAAGTATGTAAGTGTAAGGTACATAGAAGAATTTTAACAGATCTTGGAAACAGAATTAAAGCTTTTTATAAAACGACCAACACTTTATGGAACGCTTTGGTTAGAATATAACATAAGATCCTGTTTACATCTACACAAAATTAACTAGGTTATTTCAATTGTGATGCGTTCTACATTGAAGAGACTTCTGGTGAAATCTTAACTCGTTCTAAAGAACATTTAACTTACATAAAAACACTTAATAATCCTGTAGAATTGGAAATTTTACAATTGAAACTAGCAATATTAGTACATGTTATTTTCAATATTCATCAAATTGATATTAAAAATAACAAAATAATTGAGGAAGGCTTTTTCGACTATAAAGAGAGGTGAGTAGTCGGAAAGTTTCACACAATGCTAAATTCCTCTGCACTCAATAAGAAATAAGGTCTGAATATTCATCCAAAAACCACATTGACACTTCATTTTCCACACAATCTACATACATACACGCACACACACAAACATTCCATTTGAACCACACTACTTCACGTTAATAATTATAAATTTATCATACCCACCTTCTGACCCACAAATTATTACAGTGACATGTCATACAAATTCATCTTGACCAAAAACATCATGACATGTTCAGACCAATTATGATTTCGATTGTACTAAAAATATTCCATACTGTTTCCTTTGTACTATTTAAACCAACCGGCGGCCTGCTTGAATATCTGGGCTACCTGTTCCTCCGATCTAGATGTTTCATCAAGTTATCTGTTTTGTTGTTTGTTTTAGCACATCACTATGTCTATTGTGCGCACAACCTATTCAGGCGCGTTTATGAAAAGTGTACAACCTTTCGCTAAACGGGATACAAAAAGGTACAATCAGCGACATCATGGTTGCTGGCTATATGCATTGAAACAAATGAACAGTAATCAAATGTGGATTACTGAACTCCTAACATCTAACTGGTCATCATTCAAAATTTATCGTCACAATCGATCAAGGTATAAGAAAAGGAAACTTGTTGAAATACTTTATGCTGAGAATTCTATGTTGTACCAAAAATATAATGTTGAATAAAGCTTCTAATAATAATAATAATAATAATAATAATAATAATAATAATAATTCTATTTCGGTTATTTGTCGGTTTACTTTAAAGAAGTGAGTTACAATTAGTCACGAAACATCAGGAATACAATTTTCTACTCAGTACGAACGTCAACACAATTCTAAAAAATATATTTATTATTAACTATTCTGAAGTTTATGGCAAACAAACAGATTGAGAGAAAAGACAGTTTATTAGGTATTATGTGGAGCATTAGTAAGATGTAAACTAGCTACAAACCAAATTTTATCTTAAACTCAGAAAGAATTTGAGTTTTTCTAAAGAGATTTTCCAGAGTGAAAAATTTAATGGAAACACTTTTGAGGGAGTATTTCCACAAATTAAAGTTCGCCTCTCTTTCAAAAAGTAACAGATACATTTCCACTTATAGTGTGTGCTATGTAAGAAAAAAATCACTCGAGACAGAATTACATACTGTGAGATATCAAACATTTAAAATAATATTGTCACTTACATGATAAAGAACTATTCGATAAAGGTAAATTCCAAAGTCGAATGTCACAGCCAATTGTTTTAGAATCACAATTTTGACCAGCTACACTGATAAGTAATGCATCATCATTATTCGAATTCAGAGGTTTTGTACAACTTAATCCACAAGGAATTAAGCCAGCATGACCACTTAGAGTAGCATGATATCCTGTAAGTGATGGTTCATATACTCGAAATTGAAACTCTTGAATATTACGTGAACCGGAAATTGTTTGACCAACCAAAAGTTTCACATTAGTCTCATCAAGTAATTCTGACAAGGAGCCAGGACGATTAATAAATTTGTCAAAAATGTGAGATCCTGTTGATTCATCACTATTGAAAGCAACATTATTACACTTATTCCCAGTCATTAGATCTTTCTCTGAGCACTGACTTGGTGTTTCATCGGAACCCTCGTCCATTAATTCATCATTATTTAAACAGCACTGATCAGAAGTTCCTTTCACACTTTCTTCGTCGCTAACTAGATTTTCATCCGTAATATCCTGATGCTGTAAACTGTCATCTTCATTGTTATTAATATCATTAGACGATGATGAACGTGGACTATTATTGGAATCCATAGTATCGACCACAGAATCTTTACTTTTATGAGGTTCTAGTTCATCGTAAGAATTGATAACATTTTTATTGTTCGCTAAAGTAAATGATATGAATGAAATTAATATGCGCAAACAACGATAATATAAAGTATTTCTAAACATACAGTGACTTCAGTGAAACAGTCACTGAGAACAGAGAAACACTGGATATTTGCTTCATTTTTGACTTGCATATTCACATTAACACTATGTATATATTCATGACTTTGTCATGAGTCCCGAAATTTTCTGACACCTTGACATGGTGGTCGAGCTTGCGTATTGTGATGAACCAATAGAGCTGTACTAGATGGAACAATCGTTCCACAAGCTCCTACCATGCCAGACCGGTCGGTCAAAGAACGATACGACTAAAAGCATATATATTTAATGCCCGCTTGTACCAATACTTATGTGTTCAAATAAATAAATAACAAAGCAGCAAACTCAAGGATCGAGGGCGAAGTCGTACTGCTGACTGTACAGAGGTGTGACGGCAGTAAGGTGTTCCTTCCTCAAGTGTCACTATGTCGAACAATTCTAGTGCACGAAACATTGTCCCAGGTTTACTGAAACCTCGCTCCAAACTACACATTGGAGCAACTGTGTTCAGACAATTGTTTATTTTTAACAAGCACTTTTCAAACGGAATTATTTTCTACAAATATTTTCTTTCATACAAAATTAGCATACATTAAGATTGAGATTATGAACCGGTTTAAGCTAGACCGCCATTGAGAACCTGGAAGCACTGGACGGCGGTTTCGTCATAATGTGAGACTCATCAACAGTGCGCACCCATGACCCCGCTCCAATTACTAGAAATCGTACTTATGTGCATAGTTTACACAAGTGTATACAAATCAATGTAAACGCTTATTGCACTGGTCATTTTAAAGTACATTTTATTCAAATGTAAAATATAATCAGTTTGATAAAAAGGAATAAGAGTAATTATCAACAGACGTGTCATTAAACAACAGAATCAATGGTCAACGAACTGAAAATGATACATACCTACTGATGATACAGTCAAAAACGGAATAAGTAAAGAGAGCAGTTCAAACAGTTGATCAAGTGATTGAAAGTGAATTTAGCATTAAGGAAAGATAAATTTTAAATAGAGCAAGAACAAAGATTGGTGCAAATATTTAAGATAATAAAGGGAACTATGTGTATGAAAAAGATAAATTTAAAATCTACTAACCGTGTAAGAAGCCCTACATCACAGAAAGTGAATGACTCCTTCATTTACACACATTTAATCACAAGGTATCAATTAAATGTATATTAAATATATTACTATCTATATCAATGCACTTATACAGCTATATTAGCAAACCACACTTTAAATTCGTAAATTATTCTCGACAAAAGTGAGATCCCTTCTCAATATTCAATAAAAGTCCAATATCTACTTTTTCTGAACATTTTATTCTGTTCATTTAGTGAGTCTGTACTATATATGAGAACATGATTATCATTGATTGCTTCATTCTAATTATCTAGGGCGACCTAAATATGTATTCTGTGAACACGACACTGTAGTACATTTTAACTTACAACATTAAGAAGGGAACAAATACAGTGAAAATTACAGTTTGAAATAGAATCCTCAGTTAAAATTATACTCTTATATACAGTATTTAATCGACAACGAAATGAAAAGAAAAAACAAGCTAAATATTGTAGAATAAATATATTAAACATTGAAAAATTGATGTGTTGATGCAACAAAAGAAAAACCATTCTAACATACAGGAATAATAACAAGGAGTATATTCAAATGATTGGACTTTAATAAGATTCACTACATTCTCATTGGTTGTATTCGATTTCAAGTTGTCTAACGGTGATGATATTATCATTTCACTGATAAGTTCAAAATTTTCATTTCGACCATATCGCCATACACTTATATGACCATTAGATGTAGCAGAAAAAATATAAGGATACTACAATTTTGAAATTTAAAAGAAAGAAAGAAAGAAAAGGACAACATGGATCTTTATTTTGATATACTTTGAATTAAAAACGTGAAGAGTCTGATGTATGACATAAAGAGAGAAATCACTTGATGTGAATACTACAAACTAAATAACGATGACCTAAACTTAATATCCTTCATAATTACTGTATAATTTTAAGTGAAAAACACAGATTGAACAATGAGCATAATAGAGATGGATAGTGACTAACAAAGAAATCCAAGACGAGCATTTCATCCACTACTAGACACTATCCATCTCTGCTTATAATAATTAAGACTTAAGGCAATATCGAAGCAATCCACATAGGATGCACATATGCCAATAGGAGACTGATCAATTTTGAGTCCTAAACATAAATAGGAAGATTCAAATAACCAATACAAAAATGCAATGAATATACTAGTTTTCATTTAAGCTGTGATGAACATGGGGTTTGGACAAATTGATTACCCCACTACTTTTCTTTTGTTTTATATTCAATATTCAATCTAGTTTACCACTAATAGCTATCAGAATGTGATTAGGATAAAGCTAATGAAGATAAATGATTTGTTAATTTCAATTATCACTAGAACTCATGGGAAAAAAAGCACAACTCTATTTTAAACTCGAATATATATATGAATGGTTAGTTACAGTTTTGCTTCTATAAAACACATACACAAGCATACACATAAAACAACAAACACAAACGATTAGCAATATAACCATCCAAAAAACTTACATTGAAATCAAGTGATTTAATGCCAAGTTTATATGAAACAAGTGTTTGCTTCAATTTATATTTCTTTGATTTAATTCTATATAGATGAATTGACTGATCATTACTTCCAACAAGTAATGTTAGTTTTCTGTCATGCATTTTATGCGGAATATATGACCATTTCAATGATATAATCCAATCTTTAGAAGCATTATGTATGATGTATTGAAGTGTTACTTTTGCAGTATTTAAATCATAACTGTAGATAGCTACATTCTGGTACGTACAAAAAAGAATAGAGATCTAGTTACAGTGAATTCAATCTAATATTTTAAACGATGAACAGGCTCGTTCATCAATCACTGAACATTTGAATGAAACGGTTGCAAAACAAACTTATGGAGCATTGACTTAGTGAATAAAGTATTTGATCAGCAACAGTTAGGCTTCTTCTATTTGATCAATTTGATAATCATGCTAACTCCCTTTAACAAACAATTACCTGGATCAATGAACAATTATCTTATACTTTGGATATGAATAAGTAAATGACACGACGTAGAATTCAAAATAAGACTTAAGAAATATAATAATTTTCCACATTTGAAACAGAATTCCATAATCATCATTTCCAAGCTCAACCAATTTGTGCTATATTGCAGAGTCATTGATAATATTTACGTATATAACTACTTCTCATCCGACTAAATTTTATTTTATTTATTTATTTACACACATGCCCCCAAATGCCTTGGTACGGCCGAGAGTGGGGAGAGTCCGCTCTCCTTCTCGAAATACTCTCACACGGCCAAGCGTATACAGCCTCTGCCAGGGAAGTTCTACTCATTGCCTTCTTGTGGCGGGGGTGTTGTTTACGAAAGTGAGAGGACGAAAAGCGAATGTCCGGTGCTTTAACCGGATCCCAAACCAAACCAATGATACACATGGGCTCTAGTATCCGGCGGGAAAAAATGGCGTGTTAACCAATCGTTGGTCACCGGCTACCATGGGACTGCATCTCCTTACGATGCGCTACTGCCTTGTGGGTTAGACCTTTAGGTCAAAAGGTCGATGTGTGGCCCCCTAAGATAACCGCCTGCTTCGGTCTGGGCACCCGGGCAGTATCACAGCCCACACGCAAATGATGAACTCTCTATATCTATGGAAACTACTTTTCTCGCTTCGAATAACAATCAAATGATTCAAATGATTATTATTATTATTATTTACCACATTATTCACCCTCTTTTATACTTATACAGCGGCTCGTCTTTGGTGGAAATTCGACTGTATCTAAACGTTCTCGAGTCAGTGTCCGGTTGAAAATTGTATGTTACCACTGAATATGAGTACTGAAGCAGTTTTTCTGAAACCACGTGCACCATTCAAACTGGCTGCCTTCAACGTTCACACGCTTATGCAGGTTGGACAACAGATAGGGCTGGCTATGTCTTTAGAAAGTCTTAATATCGACTTTTGCTGTCTATCCAAGACCCGTATTCAAGACTCTAGTGAAGTACTACAAAATCTCTCCTCACCTGTCGCTTCGAAAAGCTCGTTTTATGTGCGCTTATCCGGGGACCCTGCAGCATCTTCGTCTAGCCTTGCTGGCGTTGGTGTCGCACTAAGCGCTAGAGCTGAGGCAGCACTAATCGATTGGATCCCCATTAACAGTAGGTTATGTGCTGTTAGATTAGAAAGTTCCATCAAAGTGAGAAGAAATCGGCGTGAGAAACAATGTCTTTTCGTCATCTCCGCCTATGCCCCAACAGATTGCAGACCGGATGCAATCAAGGATGAGTTTTACCACCAGTTATCTGTTCTCCTCCAGAAAGTGCGTTCGACAGATATTGTAGTACTAGCCGGAGACTTTAATGCTCAGGTTGGACGTCTAGGCACAGAAGAGAGTCGTTTAGGTGGCCGTTGGGTACTCGTTGGTCGCCGGTCAGATAACTGGGACCGTCTACTGCAACTGTGCACAGACCACAACCTGTTTCTGGCTAGCACTAACTTTCGGCACAGTCATCGCCGATGTGCCACCTGGCGTCCTCCCTCTGCATCCCAAGCCTGGACTCAGATTGACCACAACGCGATCAGCTACCGCTGGCGTGGTTGTGTACAAGACTGCCGCTCCTTTTGGAGTACCTATCTGGACTCTGACCATGCCTTGGTCTGCGTCAATCTTACCTTACTTTTCAGTGGACAACGAAGTGACCGCCACCAGCGGATTGATGTTAGCAAGCTGGTTGCAACTTCTGTTGCTAGTAAGTATCGAACCGAGCTAGCCTCTAGGCTAGCTACCACTCCACCGAAAAGTATAGATGAGCATTGGTTGCAATTGCATGACGCCATGAAAATGGCGGGAACAGTCAGTTGTGGGTTCGCGAAACGTCCCGCTTTTAAGCACTGGGTTTCTCCAGGTTCCTTACAACTCATTGAAGCCCGTCGGTCTACTCCGGGTGACCGTGAGTTTGGCCATAAACGAAGGATGTTACATAAGGAAATTGGGCAAAGCTTGCGTAAGGACCGAGAAGCCTGGTGGTCGGAGCGTGCTAATGAGCTGGAAGCAGCAGCTGTATCTGGTAATTACCGGAAGCTCTTCAAACTCATCCGAGCCACTGGCAGCAAGAAGTCTGATGTGAGCGAAACAATCTGCGAGGATGATGGGATGCCAATCACAAACATCCATCGACGTCTTGGACGATGGGCAGAACTTTTCGAAGGGCGGTTCAACTGGCCTGCTGCTCCGGCAACATCGGTCAGACTGTCCTGCCCTTCATGGCTGGTGACGACTGATCCATCAAATGAGGCGGAAGTCCTCAAGGAAATCCAACTCTTGAAGCGTTACAAATCACCTGGCCCTGATGGCTTACCTCCGGCTCTTTTTAAAGATGGTGGTGACTTTCTGACTACGGGACTGACGACGTTGTTTACAAAGGTGTGGGAGCTAGGGAGTGTACCAACGTCATGGAATGAGTCGATAGTTGTCCCTATCTTTAAAAGGGTTCACGTCGTTCCTGTAACAACCATCGGAGGATAAGTCTACTTCCGATTGCATCCAAGCTATTGGCTTCCGTCATGCTTCGTAGGTTGTTCAGAACCCGAGAAAGATTGACTCGCGAGGAGCAGGCTGGGTTTCGTTCTGGTCGAGGATGTATTGATCGTATCTTCACACTCCGCCAAATGTTAGAACACCGTCATAGTCATCAAAGGCCAACAATCGTAGTGTTTCTTGACATCAGGGCTGCCTTCGATTCGTTGGATAGGACTGTTCTCTGGGATTGTCTATTGAATAAGGGTGTGTCTGGGAAGTTTATTAAAATCCTAAAAGCCCTATATACAAACACCTCAGGCAGAGTGAGGGCATACAACCACCTCTCTCCATTGTTCCATTCGAGCAGTGGGGTTAGACAGGGTTGCCCAATCTCACCATTCCTCTTCAACTTTGCCATCAATGACATTCTGGAAACAGCTCTGATGAATGTAAGTAATGGTGATGAGGATCTGTTGTCTGGAGAAAGATTTCTCGACCTTGAGTATACTGTTGATATTGTCTTACTGTGCGATAATGCCCAAGGCATGCAATCCGCACTTAATCAGTTGACAATGAGTGTCCGTAGGTATGGTATGTGCTTTGCACCTTCCAAGTGCAAAGTACTTCTACAAGACTGGCAGGACCCTGATCCTGCACTCACCCTGGAAGGTGAGCAGATAGAAATAGTCGAGAAGTTCGTGTATCTAGGTAGCTGCATAAGTGTTGGTGGGGGTGTGAGTGATGAGATCAATGCACGTATAGTGAAAGCCAGAGCGGCTTATGCCAATCTGGGCCATCTTTGGCGCCTTCGTGATGTTAGTCTGGCTGTAAAAGGTCGGATCTAAAACGCGTCGGTGAGAGCAGTTCTGCTCTATGCTTTTGAAACCTGGTCTCTCCGAGTTGAGTTCGTTAGAAGACTCTCTGCGTTCGATCATCGTTGTCTCCGAAGGACTGCTGACATCCAGTGGCAACACCAAGTCAGTAATGCAGAGGTTCGGCATCGTGTGTTCGGGCACAGAGACGATAATCTAATTGGTGTCACCATCTTGAAACATCGAATTCGGTGGCTTGGACATGTTCTACGAATGTCGCTCCAGAGAATTCCACGTCGTGCATTATTTGCCGACTCTGGGACTGGTTGGAAGAAGCGGAGAGGTGGTCAGTGCATGACATGGTGTCAAGGCATGAAAGAAAGCTGCAAAGGACTGGGTTGTGCTGGTGCTTCCAACTCCCTGGTTGGGGTCCGAGAGATGGTGCTACACAGTGGCTAGAGACGTTATCAGATATAGCTCAGAATAGAAGCTAGTGGCTATCCTGCTGTAACCTTCTTTCACTGTCTACCTTATTGAGAAGTTAGTGAAGAATGAGATAACAAGTGACACTTAGTATTTTTAGGATTAGAAGTTGTACTAAGACCATGGAAGAATAATGAATTGGACTTGACACTTTTGTACGTAGTGGATGGGTTTTGAACGGTGAATAGCTCTAGTTTCTTCGCCTTAAAGCTTTTTCGAGCCACTTTTAATTCTATAGATGATTTTCAGCGACGATTGGCATGTGATGACTAGAGTTGACCCCGTGTTCAGAGATTGTGTTGTTGGTCGATTTTGTATTCCTGTTTAGATAGCTATGCAGGGTAGTCTCCGAAACTTCGTTCATCAGGAGCACGACTTGTACGGCAAATATAAGCTGATCAACAAAAGCAAGTAAACTGATAAATGTACATTAAGGTAGACTAAGGAGGAAGTTGTTATCGTTGGCATTTCCCCAAAAGTGTTTCTTCCTGGAGAAAACAATTCAAAATATCACACTGAATAAAAAAACTTTTTCGGAGAAAGGGTTGTACTTCAGTATCTTCACGGTCGTATCTCCCTTGAGTTCGATGTTCATGAATAAAACTTCGAAATTGAGGAGAACATTCAACTTGACATCTTGATTTCAGATGACTATTAATGTACCTGAACGAAAAACTGTTGTCTGAAACTGTTCGTCGGATTTTATTCAACTCAAAATCAAGAATTATCACAAATAGAAAGAACTTTCAACATTTATAGACATGGAGGAAATACATGTAAATATATACATAAATACCTACTATTACCCACACACTCCCAAAGGTCACGTATAAAATGAAAGATAACTGAAAAGATAAGAATAATTTATCTGCCCAAAAGTTGAGGAAAATCGTGAAGGAGTGTAATAAAATAGAAGCTGTTATATATTCAAAATGAGGACAACCATCTTTTTTCAGTGTTCAATAAAAAAACAATGTCTACTTTCTTTGAATATTTTTTCTATTGGCTAAGTGGATCACTGAGCATTTTATTTCAATTATTTGAAACTATCTACATCTGTCATCTATGAACACGATGCTGTAGCATATCTCATCTTACATGACATTAAAAAAGAGACAAATACAGTGAAGATTACAATTCGAAATGGAATCTACGGTCAAAATTATACTTTAAATGCAGTATTCACTGGCTAATTAAACGAAAGGGAAAAAAAGCTAGATATCGTGCAAATATATTAAACATTGAAAAATCTATGCGCTACACATTCACAAACACATATCCTGTTCTCATAATTAACAACAAGATTAAAACACTAACTTTATCTTTCGAGCCAGTAGCTATAAAATTCATTTGTACTGCGACAGCAGTTATTTGACCACTATGTTGTCGAAGACAAATTGATCTTACTAAAGGATTCTCTAACTTGGAACCAACAAAATACGCCCATACTTCACAATTCCCACCTCCGCTAACTGCGATAGAATTAGAAGCAGATGCGCATAGAGTACCACCAGCTTCACCTGTCCCATTCTCTGCATGTTCAATAGAATGTGACCAAGAAGTATACAAAGGTACAATGGATAAATTGCAAATAGAATGTATATCAGACTGAACAATAGAGTTATCATCTCGTTTTGATTTAATTTCAGGCTTAAAGCTAAAGTGGTATAACTAGAAAAGAGAAAATAAATAACAGTAATAAATTAAATGGACAGACAAAATAAGAAAGTATGATGACATATTTACATTTAGATATAGATAGGACAAAATCCACTTACAAAAGTGGAAATTCAATGACCAGACATATTATATGATGTACACAATAAATCTGTTATTCACTGAATGTTATGTCCATAAATAAATGAATGGAATTTCACAGCAAACTACATCGACAGAGATTGTTAGGGAAAATAATAATTACGTCTGACCAACGCCTAGGTAGATGGACGATAATTAGCTGGTTTAAGAGTAAGTTGGAAGAAAGGTAGAAGAAGGAGGGGTGTGTATCATTTTAACTTCATCTCAGCGTGCTAATACGGTCGGGACGTTGGGCCTGCACATATTTATTTCAGATCATATGTTGATTATGACTGACTGATTGACTATAATTCAAACAATTATGATTAGGTAAATCCAATATTATAACGCTTCACTGCAACTTATACAAGACGGTGTGTTGACTACAATAAAGTATTTGAGGAATAAATATTAGTTAAAATATAAAATTCAAATCAACTGTGATTGTCAGAAGGGGTTTTGTGGAGATTTTTGTAATTTCACTAGTTGAAATCATGAGACAATTGAAGCTAGACAACCATGGAAAACCTGGAAGCACTTGACGGCCGTTTCGTCCTAGTATGGGACTCCTCAGCAGTGCGAATCCATGACCTTATCTAGGCGATCGAACCCAGGACGTTCAGTCTTGCGTGCGAACAATTAACCTCTAGATCACTGAGTCGGCATTCAATGGTATGATTAGTTTTGAGAAGCAATTGTTTGAGTCCTAGTGAAAAGTCGTGATCTGTGGAGCCAATCCATGTCGGGTGCGAGACAGTCACCAACTAAAGACAATGGTAGATGATTACTTAATGTCATGGATTGATTAAGGTTAGGCATTAACTTCGGATGTTGGCTCAGTGTTCTAGAGGTTAAGCGAGACCGAAGGTCCTGGTCCAAGTCCTGCGAGAGGGTTCGCATATGTATATGGTATTCGGTGGTGAAATCAATATATTCATAGTCGTTAAGGGACTTTATTAACCTCACCAAAGGTTGTTTAGTATGGCATACTCTATGTTTAATCGAATCTATGTTAATTGAGTAGTGTTAAAGTGAACGAGGGAAATTTGACAATTAACTGTTTTTATAATGACTATCGATCAGCCATGTAAAAGAATTAATTGATCTTCAATGTTTCTGGAGAGTGAATTAAAATGTACTTAGGTCTCTAGGACTAGCATCTCACCTAGTCGGAGTATTAGACAACGTGCAACTCAACAGCTTGAGACACCATTATCATGTACAACTTGGAATAAAAGACAGTGGGGTTTCCTTTGTAGCATCTTATCGCATTCTGCATAGAAGTGCGATGATCTTTATTCTTGGGTGTATTTTCAAGCGAACCACCATGGAAAACCTGGTGTTCTAGCTTCAATCGACTCATGATCTCAACTATTGAAATATGCAGTTATATAATAAAGAATAGATACTTTCATGAGTATCTGGAAAAATCTCATAATCACAAGCACTAGGTAGGGAAGTTGTTTTCAAATGAAAATTCTGTGATAACCCAGCTCAACGAAAACGGTGCAAGCATCAGGTTATACACACTTCAAGTTAGACCATAGAACAAATATCGTCATTATGCCAAAGAACATTTAAATAATACGATTATTGGAAACATAATAATCAAAGATCAATCGGCACCTAATTCTGAACATTAAGTGATAATTTTTAGACCAGAAAATTATCCCCTTTCAGATAAAGGTCTGCTACAAGAACGTTTAGGACTGGCTTCCTAGCTAATCTTCATAAACCTGGACTACTTCCACACGTAAAATTAAACAATACAAAAACGGTGGGAAAATGTTGGTAAAAGCTTTACGTTAATGCTAGTTTATATACAGAAAATTTATAGAGTTGTACAAGACCATGCACTTCTATAACTCTACAGAAACATACCGAACATAGCAATGGTTTAAATAATTATCCAACCGAAACGTGACATGTGCTTATCCACTTTAAAGATTTTCTTGGAGAAATTTTTAGTGCTGATCATATACGAACTATTTCCTAGTGTTTTCTGGGCTTCTAGATACTTCAATGGAGTATATATCTTTGAACTCCTGAACAACATGCACATATGACATAATAGTCAAAACTGAATTTTGAAACAAATTAAATAGGGTCAAATCCATCATCGAAACAAAAAAAACTAACCCTAACTGCACCAGATGACCAGCCAACAACGACAAGATTAGCATCATCGCAATAAGGTGAAATACCACAAGCGATAGCTTCAACAGATGAATTATCGTTTATCAAAGGAGTTAATTTATCCGAACTGAATACAGTATCACCATTGGTCATTAGAACAATAGTGAAGAGACCATCATTCCATCCAATTATGATATACTTTCCACTTATGTCAATAGTATAGGTTGTGACAAATATAGTTCGTTTCATTTCTTTTTTATTGCGACTAACGTTAATCCATGGACCTACAAAGAGAGAGAATAAACGCCTGGGTAATAGATGAAAAAATGCAGTTTATTGATTAAAAGAATCGGTTTTTCACCGTTCGTTCACCAGTTCCAACTCTGCACCAGGAACTTCCATTTAAGTTAACTGGTAGTATCAATACCAAATACATAAGCGGTATAAGTCAAAGCGGCGAACGAAAATCTAAACAAGGTTATTTTCATTTAATTACATAATAATTAGTTAGTTAGTCAATGATCAATAAACTCGATAAGATACAATCCAGCAGAGCAGATTCTTTCATGAGTATTCTTATAAATCAGAGGTGCAAATATTCTGCAGCTAACACACAAAAAAACTACAAAGAACAAGTGCTGAAGAGAAAATGAATCCAAAAGGTACAAAGAAATCTAAAACAAATAGTCATATATATGAATCCTTAACGTTTATACACAATTCTTAACTGTACAATTTGTTATACATAATACACAGTTGTTGAAGTTTGACTTATTAATGAGTATATTTGTCATTAAAAACAAGATAACAACAAACACTACTATTCATTATGTTACCTAATGATAAAGATACTCCTATTATGCCTCAAATAAATAATTATAGGGTCAAAATGAAAATGACAGAGAATCCTAATGAATTGATAATAAGACGAAGGAATGGCTTAATGAATTAACGACTTTCAAACGTATTTACGGAAGCAAATAATTAGGAAGCATTGAAAGGAGAATTCACTGTATACATTACTCAAAAGTCTTGTTTGAAAGGAAGTGAAGTATTTATAAATGAGATCACTAGAAGTTTAATGGGTAACGGATACACCGTGGACATCATAAATCAATGTAAAATAATTAATAAACAGCGATCATCACTTTTACTATGCGTTACTACAGAGGTCATTATTATCAAGCTCTTTCGGTCTGACTCTTGTGTTTAAACTCTAGCTGCTAATTGGTTAGACAATTTTATATTATTTGAGAAGAAAACACTGTTATAAAAGACATTTGAAAAACTAATTGACAAATACTTTTGAGCAAAGAAAGCAAATTATCACAGGCCATTATTTAATGAAACAATTTACCTACCTTCAGGTGCACCGAGATGAGCATTCCAAACATTGATTCGACCAACTGATGACCCACCGCCAGTTTGAATGAGATAACGTCCAGTTGGTTCAGAGAAACATAATACTCCCTTTTGATTCGGTAATAAATGATGCAGTTCATCAAGACAAGCGAATTCATCAATTGATGAAAAAGTGACATTTTCAGTTAACCGGCCTAGATATGCAAATGTATTCGCATTTAAAATGAAACTTTGACCTTTTCTATCAAGAATAGCTAACAATCTGCCACCATTCGGCGAGTAAGCCAGTGAACAAATAGCAGATGTTGAGATTGCAAGAGACTAGAAAATAAAATATCAAAAGAGAGAGAGAAAAGTACAGAAAATCGAACAAAAGTAATTGGAAACCATTAAATATAGTAGCACAACATAATAAAATAAATGTTAATTCTCACCTTTATCCAATTCATAGATATGAGACTGTAGAAATGGACAAAACCATCCCAACATCCCACTGCCATAACATCACGTAAACATTCAGAAGGAATAGATTTTTCACTATCCGATGCATAATTCGGTAAACGAAAAGCAATTGAATTAATCGATGATTTGATATTCAGCTTTTTACTAGGTTTAATTTTTTTACAACCAGATGATTTCGACGTAAAATATGACCCAAATCCTAATTCACCAACTTCCCATAAACAAATTAAACAATCTAAACCACCAGTAGCCAAAATACGACGTTTCGGATGCCAAGCAGATACAGTCACAGGTTTGTGATGATATCCACTTAAAGAAGACACTTGGGAACTGATACTAGTTGCTATTCCACATGTAACACTGTTTATCACATTTGATAAATCCCAAATAAGTATACTAGCATCCTGACTAGTACTAACTAACCATAATTGTGAACTCGGCATACCGTATGATCTGATCGTAGAACCGTCAGAGGCAAAATCATCAAGAAAACATAAACTGAGTATTGGCATATTATGTCCAAGAAATGAACATAATATCTAAAAAAAAGAAAACAGAAAGTAAAACAAAGAGTTAATGATGAAGTAAATACATTCAATAAAATAGGACTTACAAAAAAGTAAATTTATATAGGTTTATACCAATCATAACCATTTCGTTATATTGTTTGAAAAAAACATATGAAAAGCGCGAAAAACTTACCTTAAATGATTGAACCTCGACAACCGTAACTGTGCCAGACTCAGTTCCATAAGCTAATAAATTACCTGTTCGATCAAGTTCAATTGAGATTGGGATATCTTGGGAACCAGTTAGTGGTGTGACTGGTTTATGAATTGCAATTGGTTGAATAATTTTCGGTAGGATAGATTGAATGTCATTAGTACTTAATTTAATACGGAAAATTTTTTTACATGAGTCACCATTGATTTTCTCTTGATAATTTGAACTAAGTAAACATGCATATCCAATTGTATGAATCCATTCGTCAACATCTTGATTGATAGCCAATTCAGCGAATGAATACGGATGTCTAATAAACAGAAAATTAAACTAATCAATGTTACGTTGTTAAAAATAAACAGAGTGATTATTTGGATTGCATTTGGTCTCGTGTGTTCAAGTCGTAGTATGAAATGAAAGAAGAGCAGTTGTACGATCTCGCACACACACTCTCTCTAGGTCGATTATCGATTAGTTCACCTACATTGTCAGTGGGACTAGTGACTTTACACTTACTAATTGACACAACGACCAATGAACAACCACTAATACCTTGACAGTTATCAGTTCACAAGTTACTAGTTCTAATCGAATGGACAACCAGAAAACGAAAACAGAGGGCAGATTTGTTGCCGATTAACACTACTCTTAATAAACTGATCCTCATATAAAAATCGTACTAATAATAAAAATAATAATAATATAAGCCCTGTTAACGATGTAGACGCTGGTACTATGAAAGACCAATCTATTCATTCTTCTCGAATCACATTCTTACCTGACCACTTATTCGTTTATCAACCTTGACTGTTTTCATGTGAGTGTATGTGTGTACATTGCTTATCCTACTCCTCACATTTCTGTAGCTTATTTTCGTTTGATTATAAATATCGATTCACGCTTGGTTAAAGGGAGTTGGCTCACACTCCTTTCCTACCGCACTTCGTTTCGTTTCGCTCTCCCCACTTCGCTTCCTTCGGTTCGCTCCTTTGATTATCTGTCCAGATCGACGGTTGTGTGGACCATAAGTATTCAAAATTCATTCTCGTATTTGACTTATTTTCGGCTCGTTATTCACTAACGCGGTTTCAGTCGATGATTATACACGAGGATTGGCTGTATGAATATTTCAATAACAATTATAATGCGATCCAAATGGAGTCAGATATAGGGCCACAAGAACGGTATTCTCTTAGAATGATCAATGGAACCATTTTCAGAGTTGTTATCATTCAGTGAAATAATTGTTTTAAATAAATGAATAAATCAACAACTTACTTAATTAAAAATTCATAATTCGATGCAAGAAACCTTTGCATAGTTATAATTTTATCCTTCATAAGATCTAATGAAGTAGGAATATTGTTCGGTTCAGATTGATGATGTGCAGTAGTTGTAACTAATTGAGAAAGAAATTATCATAATGATAAGAAAAAGGGTGGTAAAGCTCAAAGATAATGATTATTTACTTTGTTTCATACATAATGATAGTACTAATGATAAGACGCTAATCTAACAATATTTAAAATGAACATAATTCGGGCTCATACGCGTCGATAAACAGCATACAAATATTTAATTAAGTTCTTTTCATGAATTTTAAGTTCCTTTAACTAACTCACTCACTTCACTTCATGTTACTCAAGAAGCGAGAATAACCTTCAATCAGTTATTTACATTTTCTTAGCACATATAACTATTAATTCATTTTTGTATTGGTTATTTGGAACTTCCCATTTATGTTTAGGACTGCAATTGATCACTCTCTTATCAACATATGTGAATCCTGTACGGATTGCCTCGATATTGCCTTGAGTCACAAGCATTACAGGGAAAGATGGATAGTGGAATCCAGTTTGACGCGCGTTTCGTCCTATCTGGGACTCGTCAGTTTTGTATATAATGATTAAGGAAATTTAAACTACACACCTATAAATTTGTTTTTTTTTCTAATTGGAAATGACTACAATTATCCTGTAATGGCACTAGAGATGACCTTGAGTGCAATATTACTACATCAATACGATATCATAGTTTCCTTACGAAGAATTAACCATTCTCAACTGATTTCGCAGTGTTGTAACCCGTATATTCCAAAAACAACTTTTTAAATGACACGAATTTTAAAAAAATTAAAACCATACATCTGTCATTTGCATATAACATCTCTATCAACATGATTATGCCTATGAATTATTTATTTATTTGTCTTTTAAAATGTCAGATGTTTCATTGTATTTTAACAATAGAGGGTAAATTAAACACGTATTCATCAGAGTGCAGCCTGATACCACACTTCACTCTACAACTGCTTTAGAATATTTGCGAACGAATAAGCCGTATGAGAAAAATGATACTGTATTACTTAGAAATAGATATAATTGCATACAATTCATGGAAAATACGTTGTTAATCCTAAATGGTCGATGAATAAAAACTAAAAAAGCCAATATCATTTTCATCACGAAATTATAAGAGGAAAACCAATCAAAATTAAAAACCGATTGATGTACTTTGAAGTAGAGATAGACGGTGATTAGTAGTGGAAACCACGACTCGTATTTCTTCTTATTAGGAACTCGACAACTGGATGTACCTACCTACATTCGAAAGTTGACGTTTGCTCCAGGACTCGAATCAAACGTCTTTCGTTTCAAACGCCATAGCGTTATCTACTTAGCTACTGACTACAAATGGCCACTTAATCAATTATTTCAACTTAGTTTGAAAGTGTGCAGTAACTATAACCAGCAGCGAGCAACGAATAAGATGTCTTTAAGCAACTAGGTTATGATTGGCCATGTACGACTACCCCAATGACTTTACAATAACTAAATCACCCAACATGTGACCGATTTGATAGATAACTGCTTTTACTTATAACACTTTATAGATAGTTTTCAAATGAAATAAAACCTTGACGAAATTGATCTTAAAGTAATATTTCGTTTGGTGATAGACAGTGGAATACAGAATCTACTGAAAGTATTGTTTAGAACATGTTATCTTGATTTAACTGAATCTAAATTTTGATAATTTAACTGGAATTTGAATCCACCACCATTGTTTCTTCAAACGTCAAACGTTTAATAACTAAGCTATTAAGTCCCCCTAGCAATCAATTCAACACACCTAAGACCGAAGAAACCTCCATTAGAACCGAAACAATAATAAAGATAAATTTAAATTCAGTTTCACCCAGTTAGCAGTAATGACCAAATGAAAAATAGAGCACTTACTGTATCTATTCATATCGTCTAGCAATGTCAAACCATATCCAGATTCAATCTGATGAATAAGAAACGCTGGACTACTGAGTAAACAAACAACTTCATTTAATCGACCGGCATGATGCTAAAATTAATTTTTACGGAAAAACATACATCTCGGTCATTAATCATTTAGACAGGGTATTCGATATAACTAGTCAAAATGTTAATACATCCAAAAAACTGAATTGATAGTGACGAAGTTAAATTACGTATACAATGAAGCGGCTATTCTTCATCAATGGAGACTGAACGGTAGCTACATTATGCGAAAAATCAACTGAAGTTAGAAACGTGAATCTCTGGTTGAGAAGGGTATCTTACTCGGCATAAGACCTAATTCTTCACTTCGATCTCGTTTCTGGAGGACTAACTTCACAATGTTTTTAAGTATTCACAGAGGACTAAACAGTTGTTGAATAATCCCACAGAGAAAATTTATACTCGAATTAAAACAGATAAGTAAGAAGTACAGCTCAGATATAATTCTAAAATACACCATTTATCGATTTACAGAAAACTCTATTAAAGTATCAAAAATGATTCAATTTATTTTAAATATAGAAGGAGGGATGATAATAAAACATTCTCAGTATAAGACTGTGGAGATTGTTGAGTTTTTGAATTGAGATCATGAACCGATCAATGTTAGACCACTATTGAAAACCTGGAAGCATTGGATGGCCGTTTCGTTCTAGTATGGAACTCCTCAGAAGTGGGCATCCACGGTCCCGCAGGCAGAATTCGAACCCAGGACTTTCGGTCTCGCGCCCGAACGTTCACTGCTGAGGAGTTCTATACTAGGACGGAACGGTCGTCCAGTGCTTCTGGGTTTTCAATGGTGGTCTAATATTGATCAATTCATGGTCTCAAATAAAATATTTATTTATCCAATAATAAATAAGCTAATAATGAACTTACTAAATGATAAATTAAATCTCTCATGTTTCGTAATTTTGAAGCTAAAATATTATGTATAGTTTGAAGAGTCACTGTCTTCAAATGAAATTTATCACCGGGCATACTTTCATCATGTTTTGCACGTTTGTTAAAATTCCTCATTTGATTATTTTTGAAAGTATATTCATATTTTCCATGACCTATAATGTATTTTGATTGATTAAAACATATATCATAGACTAGATTGTGTATTTCACGACTGCTAAATGATAATGCTCTTGATCCAAGATTCCATATAGCAAGCTTTTGTTGTTTTATTGTTTGCATAGAACCATCAGGCGGTAATTCATTGTCAATTTCATCAATATCAGCTTTTTCATCTATGAAACCAGAGAGTAAAGGATGAAGACCAGTTAATAGGATATACAATAAAAGCGACGGCAAATGTGGTTGTCCTTTAGATAATGTAGGCTTATTTTTATTATTGAATTGATCATTGATTATTCGATAAATAATCTTCTCATTTGATATTATATCATCAAGATTGTCCAATGGCACTTTTAAATCTTGCCAACAATCTGTAAAACCATTTTTGAACTGTTGTTCCATCCATGATTCAATTAACCATTCATCAATTAAATTATGTAGTTCTTCTGTTGACAATGGTTGACGACAGCAAGTGAGTAGACCAAGTGTAATGCGAGTTAAATCTGATCCACAACTACATTCAACTCGTTTGACAATATCTATCACTAAACTGGATATTGTATCAGGCAGTTGTTTTAATTTAGCATCCAACTATTTAAAAATGGAAATCAAACAATTTAAATTGATAATCATACTTAAAACTATGAATAACAAACGTACGAATACATATAAATCATTTGAGAGGCATTAAAAATTATGTGTATATGAATCACGTCGATGAGAGCCACTTTGTTGATATGTGCTAAAATGAAGTTTTAGTCAATCAATCAATCACCACATACAACCTGGTACGTATGTACACCGGTTTCAGTTGCCGTACCCCGTTAGCACAGAGAGATAAAACTGCCAGGCCAAATCCCAGAGTATTAGAGGTAGTAACAGAATATATGGGAATAAAAAAGACTGGGTGTCGAAGATACGATTCAAGCAAAATATAAACGGGTGGAACCAAACACCAAAAAATTATGAATTCAGAAGCTCAGAATTTGAGTGAAGAAAAAGAATGGATGTGCCTACGCCATTTCAAATTATTTTGAGCAATATCGTTCAAGGTCTCTAACCACCGCTTATGATAATTACACGGTATTCTACACCTATAGACATGGCTCATTTCCACGCTCAAAAACCTCGTGGACTAGTAGCTCATTTTTATGTGGCCGTCCCTAGCTTTCTTCCAACTTACTCCTACACCAGACAAGATTGTCCGTAGAGGTAAGTGGTTGTTATGCATACGTAACACATATCCTAAACACTTCATTTAATGAAGATCCACTACATTATCAATTGATTTGTAATCTTTGCCCAGTTCCCTATACTTAACCCAGGCACTGCTTACTCTGTGTTTCCAGAATGCACAAGAAATGCTTCGAAGACACCTATGATCGAATAAGATGTTGCAATTAGCAATATTTATTGGGAAAATTCCATGAATAACTATCCATCAATGCTATAGTTGGCTGTGATATTAAACTAAAGATATCATATAAAAAAAGTCAAGTTAAAAGTAAAATGTACAAGATAGGACACTAACCTGTTCATATTTACTGTACAAACGTAATTCATCACAAGCCAATTTCAAATAAAGTGGAATACTTGCTTCTCGTTTTTGAATTAAAACAGATAACTGTGAAGTAGAGAAAACGAACAACAATCAGATTAATAAAACAAATATGTAAACCTTATTTTATTCAAACACTATAATCTACAGTGAAACCAATGAAAACACAATGATTAAACCATCTAGCTCAGATAAAATTACTACACTGAAATGATCCACCTCAGGTACATATATTCACTGCAATTTATAGAAGAAAGCATAAATTCTTCATGTTCAATTGGATATCCGTAATGTAATTCAATTAGCTTTTCATCAAACATACATACTCGTGTATTTGATTTTTTTAGACAAACTTTAGTCGCTTTAAACCTTGTAACACTACCTAATTGATTTGGACTTCTTTAGATAAATAGAATCAGATTCTGACTTGAAAGCTAGTGATTGAACGTTGAGCTCGTTAATTATAAGGTTACCTGAAAAATACATTTCATCATATGACAATTTCTGTCCATTAGAAATAATAAAATGATGTCGCATACATTTGAGATATGTGAATAGTATGAAAGTTGATAGAGGTTATTATTTCACCAATTAGTTTGAGCATTTTAAAATAAGTATTTAGTTAAGTGATACATCGATGTAGTTGTCGCTAAGATTTGTGTTTTAATTAATTTTTATTATTTATTAACTACAAATATGTCATAGAGCTTCTTGTAATCGAAAAGCCATATTTATGGCAAAACTGTAAGCTATGAACGACCCCATGAGAGTAACACCAAAATGATTATGAGAATATTCATCTTCTTACACTAGTGTCAAAAAGGGGTTAGTATTTACAGTTAGAAGTTAATGTTACGATTTGGAATTATGGTTTTCATCCCGAACAGACATCAATTTTAATGTCAAAATGCTATTTAACCAATTGGATTAATGAATTTTGCGTCCAAACCCATAACGTGTTATCTTTAAATACATTAGTTAATCCATTGACTATAGTCTCATCACGTATCGACCAAATGAAATTATATCCACGAAAATATAAAAGATTTAACCTTGAATATGTTGAACATACGAGTAAATCAGTTATTGTTTTGAAACAAAATTGATTTCAGACAAAATAAATCATTGAAACATACCTGATTTCGAAAACCGGATTCACTTAAAACTTTTCCATATTTTCCAAGTAAACTACGAACAGCTGCACCACGTTCGTGTGTAGTTAATCCGGATACAGTTAATAGTTGGCAATCAATTCGATTGCACAAACTACGAGCAATTGATGATTTAGAATCACATGTTAAAACGAATCGAACATTCTGTGAAATAGAATTTTCAAAATTAATCAGAATTATATGGTAACAGGCAGTTTTAAAAATATAACCTTTACGTATTTATTGGCAAATTCGATACATGTCAAATATCCGACACGAAACAATTGCAAAGTTTTAATATATCCGTCCCTATGGATACTGGGAAACGAGGCTAATTCAAACCACAATTATTTGATAAGTAATACTGTAACCTCCAACACAATAGAAGTACACATGAACGACAACATCGAGGATCAAATCCAGAACTTTTAGAACTTGTGGTGACAACATTGTTTTAAGACCAGAGAGTTGGCGAAAAAACTGTAGATTGTCAAAATTTTATTGTTAGATAATTATGAAACAAATAACATAGAACAAGGAAAAAATACATATATACGTAGGCGTGCAAATACACACAAAGAGAAAATACTAGAAAGACTTGTTATTAGTGTTTATAACCAAGTCGTTTTTTTCTGAAAACTGTCATTCAACATGTCATGTATCAGATGTTAGAGTCGAAAATAAATACACACGTCAACCTATTGTATATCTATCCTTTATGTTTATTGTTTTATAATGATAAAACATCTCCCACTCAATGCAGTTTGAACACAAAAAATGAATTGAAAAAAAGATCGTTCAATTAAACGTAATATTTCCAGTCGGATAGAGATCATGGGATGGATATTAATTGGGATTTTGGAGGATAATTGACTTAATACCTTTAATGCTATCCTTGAATTATTACCACAATCATTTAATTTTTTGAGACTATGAGTGGAAAGTTTCGTTTGAGACTAGTTTAATCAAGAATAAAGATAATGACTATTATGATGGCGCTGTGTCCGAGACTAATACCAATACACAAAATTCCAATTTCCAAACCCCAAACGGTTACTGAGTGAGAACATTAAGAACGAAGAAGGAAATTTATTGGGCTAGATAAAATCATATACATATATGTCTACCATCTCTTGGTCAATAACATGCACTTGTTATTTAGACGATTTTCGATTGATACAATGTGGACTTCGCAATTGGTGGTTTTTGACTGATCCACAACTGATTATTTGATATGATATCGCAAATTAGCAAAGTATGCTACTGAAAGTCATATCCACCATAAAAGGCTGTTTGCACAAATTATCAGGAAGACTTAGATAAGCTGATAAGAGACTACCGAGATTCCTTAGCCATGAGAAATATAACTACATAATACATAGACGATACATTTTCTAATCAATCTTGATATTCTACACAATTAAATTTACATGATTAAATTTTATTAAAATTTTGAAATTTTAAATGCTGTAAGCTTGAGAACGATCGGCAGAGGTATGCACTTTGAAAAAATGTGACAAAATTCGAGTTAACTCTGATCGAACAAGATTTAATCTCAAGTTCATTGTGGAAAGTGTTTGGAAAAACAAAACTGATCAATCTATTTACTTGTCTTCTGAAGATGAAACAGAAAAAATAAATAATCTTCGGTTACAATCATTGCAATAACGATGGTTAAAACACGTTTATGATTAGACAGAAAAAATCACTTAGCAAACAGTACCCGTTAGGTCCTATGACTGTCAATTATCACGTGAAAAAATCGCTAATCTGAATATTGAGCTTTGTGACCTTGCTCCTGTGATAAACCAATGATGCGTAAACCAGCACTAACAGCCTTGAGTTAACTCTGAGTGCTTACTTGTCCACTGTAGGTAACCTATCTCCTAGCCCAGCCCGCCCTGTTCAGAACACAAACATCGGCTTCCGCTGATATAATAGTAAATTATTAAGGAAATATTTACAATACAACAGATGAAACCTAACACTTACAAAATTAGGATAAATTTTAAGCCACTATCAACATGAAAACAATTTAACTGAATCAATTACCTTGGGTAAAATTTGTGGTAACCATTCTAAGGTCATTGGTTCCAACTGATCACAGTCATCAATTAAAAAGGCAAATTGTATATCATTTAAGTAACCAATAAATTGTATGAAACGTGCAAAGCACTGAATATTGAATCTATAGTAGAAATATAATAATAATAATAATATGCTTGACAAGTTAGTTAATTAATGAATCACCAAATTATAATTTGGATAGACGAAATTTGTTTAAATTCGTTCAATCTCAGGAGTATTTACATTTGAGGATAAACAACAGGTGAGAAATCATGAAACCATAGATACTTCTATATTGTATTCTCAGTTTAAACTCCTTACCAATTCACATTGTATTGAATAGAATCCATATAAATTAATAATATTCATATATTTGTGCTAGTTTTAACATGAATTTCCCGAATCTCATATGAGAAACTATAACATGCCATTTTAAACGTTATTGTTTTAATGATGTAAAAAGTGTATTTTTTTAAATCAAAAGCTAACTGAATTCGAACCAATAGTCCATTGAACTCTAATTTAATAATCTTAATCTTTTTACAGTTATTTTGAGAATTCTCTACCAGAATACGTAGTATCAGCACCTTCTGTTGATTCATTCAAAGCGAGATCGGAGCCCCACAGTGTTACAAACTCCAAGGATTATTACAGGTCGATAGACCTCCTATCCTTACTAGTGAAGACTGAGATATGAAAATCTAGTATGAAAACATTCATGTGAACTATTAACATAGTTTTTTAAGCAAACAACTCAGACAAAAATTATCAATCATAACTGAGATCAAAAACCGACAAATGTTAGACCAGCGTTGAAAACCTTGAAGCACTGGACGAACGTTCCGTCATACTATGGGACTGTCCAGTAGAGCAAATCCACGATCCCTCATGCACGACTCCAACCCAGTACTAGAACTCCAAGAATTGCCTCAGGAAGCTGGTCACCAGTTAGCATATGATAACTGTTCTACTGTGTCAAGTGTAAGGTGGTTACTGAACGAAGACAATGGAGGATGGTCGCTCAGTATCGTAGATTGATTGAAGCTGGACACTAAAACAGCTGGATCCAGGCTCAATGGTCTAGAGGTTAAGGGTTCGCGTGAGACAGGTCCTGATTTCGAAACCTGCATGAAGGATAGTGGATGAACATTGCTGAGGAGAATTCAGAAAATGAAATAATCAAAATCATGATTGAATTATACTACTTACTTTAAATCTATATTAGAAGAGATTTTATTCACATTAAAAGATGATTTCATTTCATTAAATAATTTTCTAATAATATCATTACTATTACAGATATTATCAAGTTGAATAGTTAATAGATTTAACCAATTTTGAAGTATTTCATTCAATTTTCTATTCGATGGTAAACCAGATATTGATAAACCATTACAGAAATGTATAAATATCTGATGTTTAGCAAATATTGGACGTTGTTTTGAAATAAATTTAGAATTTTCCATTGAATTCATTAATTGTTCACTTGAATGTAATTTAGAATTAAACTTTTTTTGTATTGTGTTATTCGTTGAAAATGATCTATACCAATCGGATTCTATCAGTGATATTGTTAAAGCTGACAAATAGGTAGTTTTCCCACTACCAGTCGGTCCAACAATTAAAAGGATACCACCATCACAACCTTGAAGCAAATGATATTTTTTTCAACAAAAAAAAACAACGAAAAAGAAAATGGATTGAAATCGTGTGAATTTTGGCTTAAAACAATAAAGTTCTGTTAAATGAAATGGTCATTCATTTAACCCGGTATTCTCGCATTTAAAGCGATTCAATATTGACAGTGAAAATCATTGATAATAAACAGCTATTGTGTTAGGATATGGTGAATTGAAAATGTACACTATTATTAGGTTTATAACTCAGTGTGTACTTTGAAAGTTATTTAATTGTTACGAAACTTGAACACCTTAAATATGAATACTGATAGAGTAATACTAAGTAACCTATATTAAACAGACGTCTTTTGGTACCATTGTATCTTACTCCAATTATATCGTATAATGATGATTGCCGCCCACCGTCATATATAATTATCGACCTAAATAGCGTTAGTGAATAACGGATTAAGAATAGATCAAATACGAGAATGAAGTTTGTGTACGTATATTTCGTACACTCGTTGATCTAAACAAACAATCACGGAAACGAAAAGAAATGACGCGCAGTGGAGAAGGCGAGTAAGCCAACTCGATTTAATCAAGCGTGACTCAGAGAAAAAATAATTTACATACACATAATGAGTAGTGAAAACAATTGACACATAAACGATATAAAAACAGTCAGGGTTAGTAAGCGAAGAATAAATAAATTGGTCTGTACAGAAGCCATTCAGCACAACCTAATTTTCGAAAACATAGTTTTAAAAAAAAGAAAATACTTCAGCATTTATCCATTATATTAAACAACACCAAAATTACATGCACCCCTTGCATAAATTCTTATATATTAGGTGATCTTTGAATTATCAGAAAGGGGGTTTTGTGGAAATTGTAGTAATTTCATTGTTGAATCCATGAGTCGATTAAAGTTAGACCATCCCTTTCTGATAACAATCATCATGTGCTCACTAGTGACTGACTTCAACAGGTACTTCCTGGAGTTCTAGTGAGAAGACGTGACCAGGAGTACAACCGAGTCTGTTGTGTGATAGTAACTCACTGAAGACAATGGTGGACGATGGCGAGACCGAAGGTCCTGGGTTCGAATCCGGTGAGCGGGATTGTGGATGAGCACCGTTAAGGAGTCCAATGCTAGGAAACAGGCTACTGAACATCGTCTTATCGACAGGTGTTCACTTATTTATTTAAACACATAAACATTAGTACAAGGAGGCACCAAATCATTCGGTTTGTGTAAGGCCTGGGATACTGTTCCGGTGCGCAAATTGAAACACGTAGTTTTCGTAACAGGAAGCTCCCCAAGGCTTTCAGCTGAAGGTCTACTTCACAAAGCAACTTTAGGAGATGCAGTCCCATGGTAGCGGGTGACCAATAATAGGTCCAGTTCTTCCCTCAGAATACTGAAGCTCATCTGCAACACTGGTTTGGAATCAGGGTTTTCCATATTCATCAAACCAGTTAAAGCACCGGACACTCGCTTTTCATTCTTTCAACTTCATGAGCAACACCCCTACCATGATAAGTCAGTGAGTAAGACTTCCCCAGCAGAGACTATATACGCGTTGCTGTGTGAGATCAATTTGAGAGAGGAGGATAGCTCTCCCCATCCTCGTCCGTACCAGAGTATTTAGGTGGTTATTATCGAAAACTTTAAGTATCCTTAAGCCCTTCATCAACCTCGAAAAATATCACTTTAAATTGACTAGTCAGATTTTAAGTACCAAATAATCAAATTCAAAATCATTTCGTCTGATGGGTTTCTTTTTTAGAAAAAAAATTATTACCTTGAAGGTTTGCTGAATAGTTTGAATTGTTTTGTACACTTAATTTCTTTTCAGTTGATTGAATTGCACGAGCTAAATGAACCCGTTGACCACGTTCAGTTAATGCATTAAAAGCTTGTTCTACTTCCAGTAGATGACGTGGTCCAATTGCACATGCAGCTGAATAAACATATTCTCGTAAGAATTCAATAGTATTCAATGACTTATTAATAGTTATAGGAAAATTATTATCACTATTATATACCTGCAAAAAATATATAATAAAATGAGAAATAAAAAATGCATATTGAGAAATAAGAGCCAAATTTAACTAATATACCATGTCATTTAAAAAATATTGAAAGGTTCAAACTCATACACATATATATATAGGACTTGGAAAGTTTGATATCAACAAAAACCTGTTTGCTTCCCGTTAGTTTGAGTCCATATGAACAAAGTGAGGGTAATAAAATAGATTATTAATTCGACAGTAAGTGAATATATATAGTTTAAAAGAAAACTAGTACTGACTAAACGAAACCATAACATTAGTACATGTATACATCAAGTTAATCACTGTTGAAACCGGTTGTGTCATCAGATGGAAGCTTTCAGTTTGATGTCCATAAAATAATTTCAATCTATAGTTAGTGCTACGTTTGGAGAGATTACGAGATTACCTAAATCGGCAAACGGAACGAAGGCTCAGCGACACATTGGCAAGATAAGCTTACTATTCCGATGCGTCCCAGACTAACTAACTAGAGGTAAAAGTCCAGGTTCAGATGAGGGAAAGTATATTCCACAACTCAAGCGTATATTAACAACATAAAGATGTTTTTGTGAAACGTCACAAAATAACATACTAAAAGAGACAACGAACCAATGACGTCTAGGATTCTTGCAAATGGGAGAAATAATCTGAAGTTAAAAATGAGCGCTTCTGGCGCGAAAATGAGAAATTCGAATTTCCAAAATTACAAAATCTTGACGTTTATCAAGTGAATTCTAGGGATCTAGCATCCCCAAGAATTACAAACCATAGATGATATATGGTTCAAAATCAGTCATGAAAGAGCAGATAAATTTGCCATTCCTTCGAATTTTCAGTCCTAAAATTAATTTTGAGTAAATGAACTTCGATCTCATTATTCAGTTGTATTAATGTATCAGTACATAATAAACACCATTACCACATGCAAATCTGGTGGATGGAATAACATGCTTATGTGCATAATTGATACCACTACATAATAATAATAATAACAGTATCTTACAATCAGTTTTATCGATTATAATAAAACAGAAACTTACTGGAGTATTATCACTATCATTATGAAATAGACGTAGAAGTAAAGATTTAACTGTTGCAAAAAATTGACTTCCGAATTCATCTAAATTTCCCATTATTGGATAATTATTTATTAAACCATTGAATTGAGCTGAATAACTAAATCGTGAAATACACACAAATAACAAGTAATTCTCAGTAATAAAAAATATAAAGATAATGAAAATAAGTTAAACTGAGGTAAACTGAGAAAAACAAATCATTCAAGTCGGTCTACTATAGTTAGACAATGAATGTTTAAAATAAAGGATTACTAAATAAAAATTTTCTTAGAATTAACTAAATTGTAGCTTGAACAAAAGATTATGTTCGGTACTAAGGACTAAGTAACATGATAGTGGTTATGACTTAATAATAAACTAATACAGATATCTCACACACACAGGTAGTTAATTGTAGCTCAGTGGATAACATTTCTGTGTCACTGGATAGTGCAGATTCGAACACTACAAGATACGCAAATAATATAAATTTTCCTTAACTAACCAATGGCAATGGATAAGAAATCTATGTTCATAAATTCATAGTTGTCACGGTTGTTTCTTTTGTACTATTTAAACTTGTGTTAATTTAATTTTGATCATTCATTTACTCTGAAGAATTGGCTTACGTCAAGTTACGAAACGTCAGAAATGCAATTTTTCTACTTATTGGAATATAACAAAATAAAATTTATTTAGTATTAACTGTCCAACCAATGCTCAATTTATTTGAAACCATCAAGTCCTACCTTGGTATTGATACCTAATTCACGTTTTTTTGTTGCTATTCCTTTCACAGAAATACACTCTAGATTGATTTATGTGTAAAACATAACTTTGAAAAATAAAAGACTTTGGTAAATTGCAAATACCTGTTAATAGAATTACAGAATGAGCGATAGTAATTATGAGAGTGAATTCATAGGTAAAGATGTAATACCAGTTTATCGTAATTTCTTATGTACTAAGCTTTTACGTAAGCATTTAGTACAAGAGCTATAAAAAAGGGAGTCTAAACTGGATTAAGTAGAGTTCAAACTTGCAATCAATAAGTTGAAAACAAAGCACTTAATCTAATAAGCCACCTACTTAAACACATTAGTGAATGCAATAGATTGACTTACTTATGACTAACAATAACACCATCATTACGAATTAATTCCTTGAAGGCGTTAAGACGATTACGTTTTTCAACATCATACTCTTCAAAACAATCTTTCAATTCATCTGGTACATTTCTAAAAATAGAAATTCATAAATGTATCAGTTTAAAACAATGTTTCTACATAACTATCTTTGAAATATCAGTAGGTTCAAGAATATACAGGTGAAATTGACCAGATATGTCAAATGCTCTTCAAGTTCTATATTTGAAGAAATTACGAATTCACCTAATCTGAAAACGGAACGAAGACTGTCACAAAATGACCAATAAGCGACACAGCCCCGCTAACTAGAGACAGAAGTCCACGTTCAAAGATGGAATTGTGTTCCACAAACAGCCAGAACCACGAACAACCACGACAAGTCTAATCGGAAATACACTCATCTATATGTTGGTTGTACACCCATTTTGATTAATAATTAGGATGAAATCACATACATGAAAATACTGTTATAACAAATTATATGCTGAGTATAGTTTATGTCAATTGAATACAAGAATATCGTATGTTATACAGAATAAAAAGGTCATACGGGAAAACAAAACCGAATACTATACTGAATAATCAGCACATTGAATTAAAACGGAAATAATGTTGAACCAAGAATCATAATGAGGAAATCAATCTAATTTCGACTTTTCTTCCTATCATATCATGAAGATAGGAAAATATTGGATTGTATATTTTATATGTTATATTTAAAATACATTCTTAAATAGATTCATCATAATCTTATCGGCAATTACTTCATTTTTCTGATATGGAAAAAACGAACTTCAGAACCAACTAAATGTTGAAATATATGGTCTTCGTTCATGTACTGTATTCAACAGTTATCTGATGTTAAAGTATGAAACTTGTGTGGAATGCAAAATAACGAACCTATATTGTTTAAGGAAAAAACAAACATCATCGCCACCATCTTATGCAAATTAGTCAAAACGACATGTAAAACCAGGACTTACTCTATAGATGCTGAATCTCTAATGAAAACACAAATTCGAAGACGTATTGCCTCATGAAAACTTATTGTATTCTGCTGTCGTCTTTCATGAATAGGGACTTTAGATATGGCAGCTTGTCTAGCCATATGATACTCCATTTCAGTCATAGACATTCCAGGTTTATAAAATTTACACACTTCAGATAATAATGATTCAGGTAATGACATAACTTCAGCTTCGTCTGGTATACAACCATAACTGGAAAATAAAATGAAGAAAAGTATGAGTTCATGTAGAGTTAAAATCTAGTCAAGACAACAGAGTACATCTCTGAATGGGATTCGAAATATTCTATTCAACTAATCTCCCATAACTTTCTAAAAGAATGATCAAAATGTAATCACCAATACAACCTGTTGGCAATGAACTAATATATCCTGACATCTGTAAATAATATCTAATACAAACTGTTAAGTGAGTTGTCAAATATATATACCACAATTGCAAAGCAAATATAACTCACATTCTGGTAAACAACACTGAAGGCAACTACATGAGATACTCTTTTTTAGTTATCACATAGAACGATTTCTGAGGCATCAACTACAGTGACGAGTTACGAAAACATATCTGACAGAAATGATTGTGAATATGTTTCATGATATTTCGGTATCGAATATAATAACTAATCAATCATATATCACTAATATTGTTAAACTATAAAACCATAGGCTTCAATATATAAAGAGTTGACAAAAGTATTAGCTATGATTAACATTCATTAGAAAAGATTAATGAATATTTCACAAATATTTAATAAACCATTTGATGCTGGGTCAGTAGTTTAGATTTGTCAAGCGTTTTTGAGTGAGACCGATGGCCCTGAGTTCGGTTCTCAGTTGAGGGGTCATGGTTGCCCACTACTGGAGTCTCATGCTAGAATAGAATGACATTGTAGTGCTCTCAAGTTTTCAGTAGTTGTCAAACTTAGATCATTTTCTAATTACAATAAGATATTTATTAGTTATAAACAGATATGGATGGTGGCTAGCAGTGGAATGCACAACATGCGTTTCGTCTTATTTAAGACTCGCCATCTGGATATACCTGTATCCCAGAGTTGATGTTCACTCTGAGACTCGAACCCAGTACCACTCGCCTTAAAAGCCAACGCGTTATCCACTTAGGTAATGTCGAGGCAATCCGCACAGGATGCACATATGCCAATAAGAGACTGATCATTCGCAGTCCTAAACATGAATGGGAAGATTCAAATAACAAATACAAAAAATGAATTATTTAATAGTTATACAGAAAAAAGGACAAAAAAGAACAAAACAGTATTACCGATCGCCCAATAACAGAACAAAAATATCACTAGCAGCCGCTTGTTCTAAACATATCTGTAGTGCTTGTGAATTGTATGTAGCTGGTTCAGGAACACCCCAACGTAAATCGATTTCATTTAAATGTACACGTAAACCTAATGCAACATTTCTACGTAAAGCAGGTACAAGTATACCACATAATAGATCACGTTCAGCGTGCATATCACGAAATGTAGATGAAATAAACAACTGACAACATTTCCATCTAAATGATAACAATGGAAAAATGAGAAACATTGATGAATTCTTGAAGACAGAGAGACAGTAAACAATATAAGTGTTCTTTTTTGGAAAAGTATTACATTCGACAGTAGGTAATGCATTAATGCAACTCCAAAAATAAGTTTACATTGAGGTAAACATATTAAAGGTTGTCGAAAAGAAATCGTCAACAGTTCAAATAGATCAAGAGAGGGTTTTACAAAGCCGAATGAAATAAATACTTCTAAGTATTACATACACAGCTCAATTGCAAAGATCAGTAACTCATTATTAGATAGGATACCCTTGTACCGTTTAACGAAAAGATATGTGTCTAAAAAACAATTTGTTTAGGTAGAATTGTGATTTTTTTCGAAATACTCATATTGATTCGTTAGATATCGGAATAAGATTGATAGAGTCTAAGTTGTCATATGTTGAAGGAGTCCCAAAAATATCTCTCGTCAAGTCCCTGAAGGCCCAGAGATGTCAAAAAAATTATATTCAACGAGCTTTTGATAGAATCCTCTTATAAACATCTAGAAAATACAGAATCAAGAGTCATAGTTTTGATTTGGATATTTACTTGTACTGCTACTATACTTAATATGGTCCCAGAAATTTCCAGAAGCCCGAGATCAAGTGTAATACTATGAATACCTATTTTTCTGAATATAAGTCAATCTTTGACTAAAGCATTATTCGCATTTTGCGTATTCTTTCTAGTTTTCCAATTGACGTGTAGAAGCAGTTGGGGATATCAGAACCTGGTAGGAAAGCAGTTTAAATGTATCGGTAGCAAGAATTAATAATTGACTATGAGAAACTCACACTGAACACTACCTTTGAACAATTAGAAACTTACTTGGAGCTCTAGGAGAAACGACTTGAATAGTCTCAAATAAAAATCATGGAAGCTCTCATGCAGACATGTATACCCTAGAAAAACCCCACACCTAATGAGGCGCAAATAACAAATACTAATTCTGTCATTAATGACATTTATGAATTTTTAGTTTGATAGTCTACCTCACATTACTTTTGACTCATATTTTAACAAATATAAGGACCTGTTCCGTATTGATCTCAGGAGACTGAATCACGCTACAAAATTCAAAATACTTAGAACAACAGAACATGAGCACTATAGTAACTTGATTCTTTCAAACAGTCCACGTGAATTTACTTTTGATGAAGCAATTAAAAGATCGTTGTAAAGTTCTATAGGTTCACATCATTGAAAAATTTAGAACATCGACAAAAAAAGCTTGTTTTTTGCATCACTCAAATGATTCTGTGTCATGAATAAATGATCTATCTTCAAACGATCATATAAACTTTAGATCAAATTATTTTAAAAGCCAAAAATACTTACCCTGATCTAAAGTAATCACGTTTCGATAATATACTATTATCATGATCTTCTTGTATTTTTGTTTTTAAATTAAAGTGATGTGAAATATTCTTATTTAATCCATAGATTTCATCCATTCTTTCAATACGTTCAAGTAATTTATCTTCATTTGGTTCAGCAATATAACGTAGAATTTGATCTGTACACCCTTTGAATTCAATCCAACCATCTTTACTACATGATTTTGGCCTTTTTAAAAATAAATAAATAAAAACAAGACAAAAATTACAAACTGATTCATATCATTTATTCACACTAGTCTTATTATAGTAAGTGAAAGAGACAACTTTGTCGTAAATATAAATAAGTTCATGAAATTTTAGACTATATTAAATTAACCTCGTATTGTACTCAATACATTCAGTTTGTTTAATCCATTTAGTCATAAAACCTAATGATACAGAGAGTAATAGCTTATTTTGTATTGTTTGTGTTGTATCTTCCCATTGATGTTTAGGACAGTAATTGATCAATCTCTTATTGGTATAGGTTCATCCTGTGCGGATTGCCTGAATATTGCTTTAAATTACAAGCATTATGGGCAAATATGGATAGTAGCTAGCAGTGGAATGTACAGCGCGTGTTTCATCCTATTTAAGACTCTTCCATTCAGCTACTGAGTCCTGATAGCTAAGTGGATAACGGGATGACGTTTGAAGTGAATGGTACATGGTTCGAGTTCCAAAGTGAACATTAACTCTGGGATGCAGGTACATCCAGCTGACGAGTCCCAGATAAGACGAAACGCGTGTCTTGGTTTCCACTGTTAACTGAAATGAGAAAGACATATGGAACTGAATTTTTTCCAATCGTATTTAATATCTTAGGAAGGATCGTAGATCCTTAATTGTATAATATTGCAAATAAATGTTCGCACAGTAAGCTATCAAATTATTATTGTTAAATATAACTCAGTTTAATTCATACAAATTTGATTGTTAATCTAACTATAAATAAATCTTATAAAAGGTGGTGTATTCCCAGATCATTTTGATTTATTCTAGGATTCAAGTAAATATTTATCACAAGTCTTCGCACCCTCTTTCTTGTGTTCAAGTTGCCGTGTAGCTTTAGTCTAAGGTTATTACGAGCGGTCAGAAAGTCGAATTGAGCGTTCATTTGACAAAACTTATCGTCTAGATAGCAGTCCATGTACACTATTTGTTGAATAAAACCATGAGTAGTATCCAAGACAACGACATTCAACGAAAATAAAATCAATACTGTAGAAGAATAAGTATTAATTCAATTTGCCAATAGAGCGTTGGAGTGTTGAACTTTTAAGATGACGTATTGTTATTTATTTAAGTTGAGTTAAATAAGTGAGTCCCAGCTGAGTTCCCTTTAACGGCCACTATAAGGCTTCATTGCTGAAATCATGAAATTGCATTACAAAGCAACCCCTAACTTAAAATCCTCAAGGCAAAATAATAAGAACACCCTGTACCAGAAATTGGAGGCAAACATCGAAGTTATGATTAACACTTGGAAACAACTGAAAAGGAGAGCCCGCAACAGTGGGTTGGAGAATCCTGATCGGTAGCCTATGCTCTACGAGGGGTGACAGGATTAAGTAAGTAGATAAGATGTTTTCAGTAATCAAATAATTATCAATAGTGAAACGTTTTAGTTATGTGTAAACATTAGGTACTTCGGACACATATTTGTTTATGGATGGATCAAATTAGCCCGTTATTTATATGTGATGGTATTCTGCACAAGCTAAACATCCTGGAAAATTCATTTAAGCAGCTAAAAATGCATTAGATTTTGTTACAATAATGGAAAGCTAGACAGTTTCAGGTGTATTTGTTGTTATTAAAGTTTGAGACAAGAACATTTCACCAAATTTAGGAGTGTCAAAAATCGGATGACTAGCTAAAGTCAAGTTTATTAAAAAACAGTTCTATATATGCTCAACAACAACAAAAATGATCACCATAACTAAAGTATATTAGAATTTTATAGCTATTAGATAAGAGGACTCCTTCAGACATTGTTCGCAATCAGTAGAACCAATATAACAACGTAACATTAAAAATAGACGCCAAGAGAAAACAGATTCTTGATGAGGATGTGAACCAACATTACCTCATATGAGTGAGACGTTTTGTCTGTACTGAGATACTAACTAAAATAAAAAACAGGATGCTGATAAACAGAAGAAAAATTGGGAATGAGGACATGGGCAAGAAGGTGCTGTGAATTAGGACTTGATAAGTAAAACCACTTGTTGAATATGCTAGGTAAAGACGATTGAAAACCTATGACAATGATCTAAATGTTTTCATACATCATCATTTCAGTTGATTTTAAGCATATTATTTTTCATATTCAGTTTACCTCCGATACACTTGTACATTTTTATTCTCTGAAGAAGTGACTTGCACTAAGTCACGAAACGTCAGAAAATCTAATTTTCTACTCATTGGGATATTACAAATATATTATTTTTTTCTTTTAATTCTTGGTGATAGCATCCAAATGCCCTGATAAATTTGACGGTGGAGAGATCCCACTCCCCCTCTGAAGATCATTTCTCCATGTGGTCACACATTTATAGTATCTGACACAGATGTCCCACTCACTGCCTACATGTGTAAGGGATGTTCCTCGCCAAAGTGAGGTAAAAAATAAAACGTCTGAGCTTGAATTACTAGGCTGGATACATAGGATTCATCTAGAGAAGTTAACAAACCCTGATTCCAAACAAATAGGTTACATGAGTCCTATGATTATGAGGGGACGAATAATATACTAACTTATCATGATCCTCGGATACCACGGAACGGTAACGCTTGATGTCGCACCATTACCTTTCAGGTTAAATCTTTGGGTCGAAAGCTCGACAACCTGCTAGGTCCCCAAAACTCGCTTGGTAAACGTCAAGATTTTGTAATTTTGTAATTTTAGAAATTCGAATTTCTTATTTTCGCGCCAGAAGCGCTCATTTTTAACTTTAGATTATTTTTCCCATTTGCAAGGATCCGAAATGTCATTGGTTCGTTGTCTCTTTTAGTATGTTATTTTGGGACGTTTCCCAAAAACATTTTTATGCTGTATATATACGCTTGAGTTGTGGAATATACTTTCCCTCATCTGAACCTGGACTTTTACCTCTAGTTAGTTGGTCTGGGACGCATCGGAATAGTTAGCATATCTTGCCAATGTGTCGCTGAGCCTTCGTTCCGTTTGCCGATTTAGGTGATCTTGTAATCTCTTCAAACATAGCACTAAGAAAATCACTAGTTTCAGTTTGTGGCCTAAGAAGTGTCCCAGCGTACACATAAAAATTATGAATTCTATGGTGTATGCTACTCTTTATACCCAGTTGTACCATGTTTTATGGGAATGAAATGAATAAATAATGAAGGAATTCACTGTTAAACAAGGTTATTCACAATTGTACACGTGTTTTAAAGGTCAATGATAAAAATACTTATCTCATGAAATTACAATAATTAACTACGTAAATCAAATACCAAGTAATAAATACTTACCATATGTCTTCACCACTCAAATTTCCCCAGATTGCTTTCAATGGTCCAATGTATGTCCGATAATTTATAACATAATCAACAATTTCCTTATGACAATCACCAAAGATAACAATTTTATCAAACTGAAACAAAAAATCCGCAAACCATTAACCAATATATAACATGTAGGTAAACAAAATACCGATTATTAGAAAGGAGTATAAATCTAACGAAAAATCAAGGTATGCAAATAAAATCTTCAAATAACTGTATGTTATTTCACAGGTTGAAATCATGAGTCAGTTGAAGCTAGACCACCATTGAAAACCTGGAAGCACTGGACGGCCGTTTCGTCCTGGTATGGGACTCCTCAGCAGTGCGCATCCACGATCCCGCACCACGCAGGGCTCGAACCCAGGACCTGCTGGCTTCGCGCGCGAGCACTTAACCACTAGACCGCTGAGCCGGCATCCGACGGTGTTAATGTCTAACTTCAACCAATCCACGAAGTTGCGCCACCGTACAGCATTGTCTTCAGTGAGTTTTTATCTCACAACAGACCAGTTGAACTCCACTGGTAACGGCTTCTCACTAGAACTCCAGGAGTTTTTCTTGAAGTCAGTCACTAATGAGCAGTTGATTATTATCAGAATGGGTTTTGTGGAGAGTTTTAGAAATTTCACAGGTTGAAATCATGAGTCAGTGGTTAAGTGCTCGCGCGCGAAGCCAGTAGGTCTTGGTTTCGAGCCCTGCGTGGTGCGGGATCGTGGATGCGCACTGCTGAGGAGTCCCATACCAGGACGAAACGGCCGTCCAGTGCTTCCAGGTTTTCAATGGTGGTCTAGCTTCAATTGACTCATGATTTCAACCTGTGAAATTTCTAAAACTCTCCACAAAACCCATTCTGATAATTGTATGTTAAATGTATGATAATCAACGGACGCATACAAATAAAAATTGATGAAGAATAATCAATTGAAAATAGATAGAAACTATAACGAAGGTTCGTTTACAACGGTGAAAACTGGTAAATTGACATCTCCATCTAATCTATAGTTCAAATAATGAACAAGGTAAAACATTGCACAAATCACATGTGCTGGAGATCGATTGAAAAGTATGAAATAAAAACCTCAGAATAAACAAATCATTTAGTGAACCACTGACTTGGAGATGATTAACCGATGAATGTATTGAAAACCTAAGGAATCCAATGGGGTCACGAATAATCGATTGGATAATTTTCAAAGTAATATTTGATATTTCCTAAACACTGATCACTATGTGTAGTGATCGAGAACTCAGGTGGGGACAACCAATTTACCGTATACCATAAAATTAAACAATATCTTCGTAAAATATGAGAACCATACATAAAAGACTTCAATTGCAAATATTTCATCAATTTTCCTTTAAATTCTGTATCATACTTCCAAATTCACAATTACTTTTCATTCCCCTTACAGTTTTCTTCAATTCGATCTTCTTAGCTTTCTGCTGCCATGCATTCCACTTCTGATTGGTGTTAAATAAAACTTAAGTCAACAGACATAAGTAGCATACACCACATGTGAACAACACGTAATCTCTTATGATTCGATTCAATTTGATAAACTTATGAGTGACATGTCACTTTTATAACAATATTATCATCATGTTACGTCATAATTGTATAAGCACATAATCAATGACCTTGGAGAACACTAAACAGAACAAAGCTGTAACAATGTGAACAAAACACGTAAAAGTAACAAATCTATGGTAGTGTAGAATGAGAACAACTGATTTAAATTGATAAAGAAATAATGCTGAATAGAGATTTAAATGCATAGCTTCAAAAATTTAGGATTGAACATTCAACTAATTAGAATAAAAATCTTCATAGAATATTCAAAAGTAAAGAATATTTGAGCGAACAATTTTCTTCAATAACTTCATCAGGCTCTCCATAATTATGATATTTTACAAAAGCCAAAATAAAGCATGTATTAAAAGAGAGGAAGCTTTCTCTGTTTGATATCAATTTCCAAAATATCTACCTCAAGGAGCTAAACTACGATTACTCTAAACAGCTGAAGCCATCTGGATCGACTCCAGAAAACCAAAATTATGTATCCAGAAAAGGTATATCCAGCCTCTATGTTTACCTTGACCTACAACTGGATCACCTGATACGTAAACTGAATATTATAAACCCCTTCCTTCTTTTTATTACCTCTATCCTAATCTTCACATCCATCATTTCCAATTCGTTTATCATAATTACCTTGATAACCCCCACCCTTATTACATATTATATCCACACAACAATATTATTATTATTATTATTATCAGAAAAGAGTTTGTGGAGATTGTAGTAATTTCAACAGTTGAGATCATGAGTCAATTGAAGCTAGACAACCATGGAAGCACTGGTCGGCAGTTTCGTCCTATGGTGGGACTCCTCAGCAGTGCACATCCACGACCCCGCCTCGCGGGATTCGAACCAGGACACATCAGTCTCGCGCCGGGCGCTTAACCAACTAGACCACTGAGTCAGCACCCAACGGTGTTAATGTCTAACTTCAACTAATCCACGAAATCGAGTGACACATCCACCATTGTCATCAGTGAGTTACTACAATCTCCACAAAACCCCTTCTGATACTAATTAACATATGCTCACTAGTGACTGGCTTCAAGAGGTATATCCCGGAGTTCCAGTGAGAAGCAGTGACCAGTGGAGTTCAACCGGGTCAGTTGTGAGATAGTAACTCACTGATGACAATGGTGGATGTGTCGCTAAATTTCGTGGATTAGTTGAAGTTAGACATTAACACCGTTGGATGCCGGTTCAGTGGTCTATTAATTAAGCGCTCGCGCACGATACTGATAGGTGCTGGGTTCGAATCTCGTGGGGAGCGGGATAGTGGATGCGCACTGCTGAGGAGTCCCATACCAGGACGAAACTACCGTCCAGTGCTTCCAGGTTTTATATGGTGTTCTAGCTTCAACTGACTCATGATTTCAACTGTTCTTTCTTTTTAATAAGAACAAATTGATTGAAGAAATAAATACGTATAAGTTAACTATTACACTTAATCATCTGAAATTTATACTGATAACTGTTAGATCATTTCCTCTTGCATAATGTATCTCTGTTAAGAGGAAAAAAGAAATAAATTTACATTCTGCCTTGTAATTTAGGAATGAAAATAATTCCATTTTATATTTCAGTCAGATATCAAATGAAATGTTTTAAAAAGTATTCGTCATTAAATAGGTGTACTTACCTGTTTCCGATAAGCATAGAGTTTCTCAAAAACTGTCGTAACTGGAGCAGATATAAGTGACTGGTAAACAAAAGAGAAGATAATTTTAAAACTCATTGTACTAACATCTTTTTTGTAGGAAAAGAAAAGAAAACGGGCTAACAACAAAGTAACATACTTTTCTACATATACATATTTTTGAATCTTATTAAACTGCATGCAGAAGGTAAAATCCCAAACCATGAAATCACTTTGAAAAAACAATTGACTATCAAGATCATATCGAATTAATATACGCATTACTGAAGAGTCCCACGCCAGGACGAAACAACAGTCTAGTACTCCCTATTTTTCAGTGATTATCTAACTTATGTTGGTTCGTGATCACAATGAAAATTTATGGATACCTACTTATTCCCCAACTACATTATAATCGATAACAGAAGTAAATATATTCTTGGCTCTTATTTATCTTCGCCGTAATTTTGAGCTCGGAGGAGGAGAATTAGGAATAATACATTAGGTGTGAATCGGCATTCCTGGTGGTTATGCCTACTGAGTTGTTTACTCGAATCACTCTGTAGTTTCACTGTAAGTAAAACAGTCCCAATATAACATCTAAGTAAACTTGCTGAAAACTGATAAAAGTAACTGCGAAAGCAACTAAGTGATCGAAACGACTCATATAATATAAACCGTTTGTGAGCTCACTTTTTTCTTAACCAAAAACAAACAACGAAATTTATTTCAACACGCACACTTGGAAAATAACATCGAAGCACAAAATTTGAAACTTACACCACGTGTTTCGTACATTCGCTTTGTTCTTTCTAGAATGCCCATATTTTTATGTTTAGATAGAAATTCGTTATGTTTCGAGTCGTCATTATTTAAAGTCCGTTTTTCTCTGAGTACAACTTCAATTGGGGTTAAATTGTATTGATCATCAACTGTAACATAGGTTGTAGGTGTTTCACACATCGACGTACACATCGCGCCAAGAAGGAAACCTAGAATTTTCATCTGTTAAGAAAATAAATAATGACTAGTAAAAGACACATTTTTTAAGATCGAAATTAGTTTGTTATTACTGGTGTTATGATCTCTCTTATTACGGCCTAGCTACTCTTATCGCTTGGGACACTACTCGACAATTCCACAAAAAAGCACACAGCTGAACAGGAACGTAATTGTATTCTAAATAAAACAGGTTGGATTAAAGTAGGAATGACAATAAGAAAAACGTTGTATATGTATAATTTTACACAAGATTCCAGAGTATTCTCCAAGTATTCGCTAGAGCTGATTGACTAATAAACGACAAATCTGTATGCCCCAACACAATCATTCAAGGAACATGATTTAATTTAATCTATATCCCGCTAACAACTTAATAGAAACTTATATGGTAAGCATTGGGTCATACGTTTCATATGAGGGCAAAGCATACTATCCCGTCACTCACACTGAAATAAATGTAGTAGATCAAAGTTGAAATCCAGTAGTTTTCAGTTCAGCTTTTCACTACGAAATCACTGTTTCCAAGCAATTGTAGTGAACGAAGACTTGGTGGAAATAACCAATTTATTGTCTAATGAAAAATTACAAAGTGCTTTCATAAAATACAATAACCATACATTAAATACATTACTTGCACATCTTCCTTCAGTTATCCCTTACATGATTCAGGATTCTTTCAATTCTGTTGTTGTTACGATTGTTCTCAGTTTCGCTTCCTGTTCTCTTCAATTTGATCTTCTCAATCTTCTGCTTCCAGGCCTTCCACTTTTGATTGGTGTTATATGCTACTTATATCTGTCAATGTAAGTAGCATACATCACACTAATAAATTACCAATGTTATCTATTACCTATATACATTGAGGTGATATTTAAAGAGATGCCTATGTATCACAAACATCATGATGTGGTATATGCGACTTATGCTGACAGATATAGGTAGTATGTAGCCTCAATCGGAAGTGAAATGCCTGAGAGCAGAAGACCGAAGTGAAGAGAACAGAAAGAAAATCGAAGAGGAACCAAAATAACAACAGAATTAGAGGAATAATGGAGTATGTGAAGAACAATGTGAAGATGTGTAAATAATGTAGTTAATATATGATTTTCATATCTTACCAAGCCATTGTGTAATTTCGCATTAAACAATAAGTTGGTTTTCCTCACCCAAGTTTTCGTTCACTACATTTGGTGTCGCTACCAAAAGAGAGGGGGAGAGGGTGTAGTCCTGGAGACGCTACTACGGGGCTGGATGTAGAGTCCCTAGTCGGTGCGGTCTGGTGTAGGAAGGTGACTTCAAGCGGAATACTCTGGAGAGGCGGCGTTGGCTGTAGTAGTCGCTGTCGACGGGGAAATGTGGCACATCCGGCTGCTGAAGGACATAGGATTTAGATAGCCCGGCAGGTCGACATAGCCACAGAGAACAGTACACCGGCAGACTCTACATTTCGGCGGGAGGTGGTACAAATTGAGGCAAAGAAAAAAGCGCCACGGCGAGCAGAACGAAAGAAAGAGTGACTTTCATTTAAAGGGAGGACGAGTGTTGTGTGTGCTACTTACATTGACAGATATAAGCAGCATATAACACCAATCAAAAGTGGAAGGCCTGGAAGCAGAAGATTGAGAAGATCAAATTGAAGAGAACAGGAAGCGAAACTGAGAACAATCGTAACAACAACAGAATTGAAAGAATCCTGAATCATGTAAGGGATAACTGAAGGAAGATGTGCAAGTAATGTATTTAATGTATGGTTATTGTATTTTATGAAAGCACTTTGTAATTTTTCATTAAGTCGCTTTATCTAACCTGAGTTCTCATTCACCACAATGATAATTTGATAAATAAAACGGTTACAGGACAAAAAGACATTCAGTAGAGTTTTGATTTTTCTAATAACAATATGTTGAATTCTATTGGTTACAAAGCCTTCAGTAGATGATTTAGAGCTCGTGATGCTAGACGTTAAACTGTCGAAGTAATTCCCTTTCATAACATATCGGTTGCAAAATTTATAAACATACGAATAATTAAGTAATACCAACCTTTACAAAATGTGGTAGAGTTTGTTAAATATTACCAAGATACAACTTAGCGAAGATCAGTTTTTCAATGTATAAATTTTTTAGAATACGATTGAGAATAGAGAATTAAGTAGTAAAGTATTCTCCTTCTTTCCGTTGGTAGTAGCCACATATCAAAAAATCACAAACTTTACGACCTAATTAGTAATAACATCGATCACAACAATTAATGGAACGGTTGTGGACGAAACCTTACCTTTCCTAACGAATTTCACAGCTTTGACGTTAAAATTATCGAAAATACATAACTCTATAAACCAAACTAGATAGGGTGCGATTGGAAGTTAAGTGTTTTGATAAGCAAACCCAGATCGCACAATAGTCCTATGGATTATACTTTCTACATATACATGATCAAAGTCCACAAGTTGAATGAGCCTAAACAATTCACAAATTGCTGAAAGATCAGGCAGATCTTATGATGCCCCATGGGAACATGGTAAGTTGGAAATCCTAGAATCAGCAAGCTATCGTGAATAAATTTCCTACCCATGAGCACATACCCGCACGAAACAGTACAATATCCTATAAACATTTGGCTTGTTTAGTCATATAAAAACTTCCCACGTTTGTTTGGTTCGTTTACTGTCCATAGCTTGTTGAGTAAGTATTGGGAAGCAACAATTGGTCATTGAATCGAACTGGCAGGACACAGTACACTAATCTTCGGTGTACTACAGGCCATACGTTATCGGATTTTAGGATAGTGGTTAGCAGTGGATCCTGGCACTAATGTTTCATTCGAAAACAGACATGTTAGATAGATATACCTGCATCCTAATGATGACTTTCACACTGAAATTCGAGCTTAGCACCTATCACTTTACACCCTAAAGCGTTACCTATTAAGCTGCTGAAACTGAATAACGACTAAATTGTAAAACGGATGTGATACAATTCATACGTGACTGTACCATAACCATATTGATATTTAAAAATTCAATAATTTGCATCAACTTCTATTATCAATTTACATTCCGTCTAACAACTGTTGAAACTTCGACACCACGTTCCGCTACATATTACATACAATCTTGTGAGTAACACCCACTACATCTCCATTCAACAATAAGAATATATAGTAACTATAGGTAACATTGAGGCACCCACTGACAGTGCACTCATGTAAACGCAGACTGATAAAAAAACTTCAATTATGAAAATAAGAAATAACAAAAAACAAAAATTTTATGCAGAATCCAAAACATTAGGATCAATCGATGTGAATAAAGAATGAATATATAACTAATCTAATGGGAATAAATTTACTTACATAAGATTTTGATAATCTATGTTTGGAAGGATTGACATATTTACTAGTAGAACATATAATTAATGTTGAACCACATATTGGTGGCAAATTATGCTTCATTGATAATTCTAAAGCGGTACTTAATGCATTTTTATAATGGTTCAAAATATTGAGATCGTAACGGCGATACCTTTTTACAACACAAATACATAAAATAAAAATATTATGTTTTAGGTAAATAATTCATACATTAAAATAACGATAATTTGGGTCGAATGATTGAAGACGTTGTTTAATATGATCCAAAATCAAGGAATGGAGTAAATTTATTCATATTTTGTTTATCCTTAGATTATGAATTTCAAAAATATTTCGTACTTGCTATCACGTAAATTTATTCTTTATTCTCCAATCACATTTTTTAATGCTTAATCTTATCATTAACACTGATGTCAATGATACTACTGATACTGCTACTTTAGTGTTCATCTTCATAATTTGATCTTACTGTGTGCACATATATTGTGAAATATCTTAGACTGATTCATGTATATGCCAAGTTCAATATTGCTTAGAACTCACTGACTGATTAACTCTTAAATTAACACCATGAGTAGATGATGATACCAAAAATCTTTTTTAAAACTTTTGTAAATTACAGTTTAAATGCTATTAGTTGCATTTTGTGCTGGATTTACTGTACTATAAATTATAATCATCATTACTAGTCAAGTGATTGACAATCACAAGAAAGAATACTATGGAATTTTTTGGCTATCAACTGAAACTCTATAAATAAATCGAAAGAAATGAAGCATTATGTTAGCGGGACATAGACTGGATTGTAGCATGCTTAATGCACGATTGCTTTGGTGCACGCTGATTAGCTAAGTCTTATCCAGTCAGTACTAGTCGATACTTGGAGAATACTCTAGAATCTTCTCATGTAGAAACTATAAATATACTAACGTTTTCCCTATTGTGCTTCTTACTTGCTTCTTGCTTCCATCTAACCTTGTTATTTGGAATATAATCTCTTTCCTGTTCAACCGTGTTCTGATTTGGGGTCTTGTCGAGTGATTTGGTGTCGAAGAATACTAAGCAATAGGAATAGCTGGGTTATAACCGTGAGAAAGAGATTATAACACATTAACAAATACAACAGATGGAAGGTTGAGAAGTGAACAAAATTTTTATATTAACAGATTCATTAGCAATGATCTTTCAATTAATGGACATGAGTTTAAAATGTTGACTGGAAACATTAAATACTAACATTTTACAGAAAGATTCAATATCCGATAAAAGGCTTACTTGAACTTCAAAACGAAATCACATGAAAAGAGTTTTCTATAAAGCTAAGTTTTCTTATGTCTAATCCACATTCCTGATCAACTTTTGATCAATTTTAATTGATTCAATATAGCGCTACACTATGTCTAATGTTAACTATTCAATGGTGATCGACAGGAAGCCTCAAAATATAGTATTTATGTTTGTATACACCCATAACCAAGACCTATGTTCAGTATTAGAGGAACAGATGCTTCCTTCCAAGGTAATTTGGTGGCATTCTCTTTGATTGCTACACTGATCGAAGCAAATTTGAATCATATATGAAGTATCAATCACCTGATTTGTGTTGACTAGCACGGAAGATAGGTTCGTAGTTGACTAACTCTAATCATCTAACAGAATATTTTCCATGGTAATGTACTTTGGCTTACTAGAATGCACATATTACTTCAATAAATAAATACTTATTATCGCAAAAAAAAACAAAACAAATAACATACAATACAGTGAAAATCGACGAATACAATACCTTTTGTTAGAAGGCTGATTGAAACTTAAAAAAACTTTTAATTAGAAGTACAACAAACAAGAGATTTCTTATCATAAAAAATCTAAACTGAAATCTTACTGTTTGTCTACAAATTTTATGCGTTTCAATAACCATTCCAATTTTTTCAATAACCTAGGTGTATGTTTCCTACGTTTCAATAATTCTTTAGCTGTGAGAACAGTAAAACAAGGTTGTTTTTTTAAATAAACAATATTACAGTGAAGAATAATAATAACAATAGTGGGAACCCATAGGGATTCCCGTTATGTTAAATTTCTTACTTCAATTCTATACAATGACTTTAATAACTGAATCACTGAACGACAAAAAATTACAATATGATATAATTCAACAGTTTTCAAAATATCAGAATAATATATTGTACCAACTAGATAAAAGCAATCGACGTGCATGCAAATACAGTCGTGTAGATACACTAAAGTTAATAAACATCCATATATCATGTAGAGCACACATGGGAGACAGTCACAAAACAACACACAATGTAACTACATTTCACAAACACACAAGTTTTATACATTTGGCTTTGAACCATACTTTGGTTGTATGATAGCCAGTAGTACTATCGCGGTGGTATACTGAAATAGGTGACATAAGGTTCGAGCTAATGGCCAAGTAGCTGTAAGCCGAATGGTTTAACCACTAAACCAATACGAATTGTTAATCAGCTGGCATGCTCTAACTTATACAGTGGATTTAATCAATTCAGTATATGTAATAAGATATTAATGTTAAAGACTACAATTGAATGTAATCGAGAAGCTTTAAAAGGAAAATCACTTTTTAATGATAATGTAACTTTTCACGGTGAATCCGATAAAACCTAGATTGATAAGGTTGAAAATGATCAAAACACGTAGAACACTCATCTATTTCATAAGCTATTTAGTAATAAACATTCTAAACTACATTCGCTAAAATTAGGACGTAAATACAGCTATGCAATACGTAAATTAAGTTATCTACCAGGTATTCGGGTATGATGCACACTAAAAATGTGGAAGCTAATGATGCTACTATCAAAGTAGCTGAAGCAGAGTGTGAACCTGGAATTTAGTGACTGAACGTTGAGCGCCTTATCCACTAAATCATCGCTTAACAAATAGATAACTTTAAAAACCCTCGAAAATAAACATTAGCAGTGGAATCCATGGCACATGTTTCATCCTCCTTGCGGTTTGCTAGATGGATGTACCTGCATCCTCGAGTTGATGTTTACTACTGGGCTTGAATTCAGTTCCATTCACTCCAAACGCTGTCGAGTTATCCACCTAGCTACTAAGTTCAGATAGCCACTAACTTGTGCAATGTTATCCAACTAACTAATACAAATGAACTCGAAAGTAAAGTTTCAAAATATTTACGGATATTTGAGTATAATCATATACTCATTTAAAAAAGGTTGACTAACCTAGATTTGCACTCTGAAAAAAACATTATTCATTACTTACCTGAGGTAAGGGATAAAAATCGTTGAAAACGAAATCTGCGTTCAAGTTTATCAATAGTATCAAAAGCCGAGAAATAACGGAACGGAAACTGCTTCCCTTCTATGATAATACGCTTTAGGCATTTAAAAAAGAACAGAAAATATACTAATTTTTGTTGGATTTAGTGACTATGATAAAAACTGAAATTATACATTATTCAACATAATTTGCTTTCCGATGAGAACAATGTAAAAACCAGGGACTTGATCACAGAAAACGAATGATTTGGTTCAAGAGTTCATTCTGTATCTACCTCTAAATCATAAGATTTATATTGTTCCACATTCTTCAATTTCACTTTTCCCTCTCAAACTATCCATCTTTTGTTTTTAGATTTCTATATTCAAATGATAATTACTATTATATCCGAAACTTTGCTGATCATCTTGCTAACTTATTCCATCTGTTTCCCTGACTTTATTTCGTTATGTGTAGTGTGACGATTTGTATCAATGTACACAATTGTACTAGATCCTATGCTGTTTGCAATTAACCGACTGACAGAACCTAATCAACGTGATGACATTCATTAAATTTTCAGGACATTTTTAAAACTCCTCACCCAAAAAGGTAAACAATTTTGTTCAAAAAGATGCACAAATGATCAGTATGCATTATTAGTAGGGTGCTGCAGTGTTATAATTGACAACAACGGAGCGGTGAATCAGTCAACTGAACACTCTACTTTTGGTCACGAAGTCATTTTTCGAAAGCCAACCTACCAACTTCAAGCTGAGCAAACGATTAATAATATCACTGGGTCACTCGAAATCTAATTCTAAATCGAGTGTACCAACCTGTACCTAGCTGATGAGTTAGTAATAACAATGACGTTAATAATGCACTCACTAATAACTTAATATTGTTTTAAAAGATAGAGATAGCTGCCCGACAGTCCTAAATAAAACTTTTTTTGCTACAGTATGAAATTTACTGTTTTGAGATAAAATCTACCACATCAGTCAATTCATTCTGTCTATGGTAAACAGACGCTTTTTATAGAATAATAACTGTCATGTTGCGTGATTAGAAAGAAACAATGCGAGAATCTGTTGTAAAACACAAGATTAAAATAATAAAAAAAACACTTACAGGATCTGTAAGCCTCTTTAAGACTATCTCATGAATACCATCTTGAACACCGGACATCAAAATATTGCGCAGATTTCTTAACATCGCCATATGTGGGACTTTGTTTAAAGCTATGATAGTTAATAAAAGTTAATTTATAAAATACCATGTATTTTAATATACAATCATACAGATACACCAAATGAAATAAATGGTCAACTCAAAAGTGGGAAGATTATAGGTAAAATTATTGTTAACACTGTTTAAACTACAGTTAATGTGAACCAATTTTAAGACAAAGTCATACACCACTTGATTTTGTATCTTGATGATTGTGGAAAAATGCACGAAACCGAACACAACTGGAATTAAGTGTAAAGTTAGAGAGGAAAAGCGTACATTAGTCAATGAACGATTCGACCTAAATTAACTCAAATGATTAAAATGTTATCACACCTAAATCATATTATTTGTGACAATGCAAAATATAATGGAGGAATTTCGATGTTGTCATGCTTCAGTTTATACAAATAAATAGTATCTACAGAACACATGCCGAAAGCGTACCTTAAATTTAAGTTCATAGAAGTGTACTTGAAATATGATCGACATTATATTTATTACTATTGTTTAGATGCCAACGATTCAACGACAAAAACGCATAGAATGGGAAACATATTAGTAGCATGATTATTTAGAATACTTATTAGCGAATTTTTCACTCATAAAAGACTAAACTGGGTAACTCTGCAATCGTGTATTACATCAATCAGTATGCAATGATTAGATAAATGCTATTTTTCTGGATACAACAACACTACCGATAAAAATCAAGACCATTTTTAAGTTTTTCTTGATTATGTTTTTCCCTAAAGTGCTAAAAATATTCAACATACTATGGAACTTACTTATAAGTTTTGACCAAGAATCTGAATTGTTTCCATTGACTGATAATTCTGTTTCCCATGTAACAGGAATAGGAAACTTCATACGTGTACCTGCTTTGGATGAATCCCAATCTCCTTCCAGTCCCATACGAATAAAATCAGTACTATCCGATGGGTAAGGTTTTCCCAGAACGCACATAACGTTGAACTTGGGCCTTGATATATGCAATCTACGAATAAGCTCCTTTATTGTAAAATATATACGAGGTGAGTGTGCCAATCTATATATAATGGCATCGATATCCGTACTGACTACTACACCATTTTGGCTTCGTTTCAGAGCCTAAGAAGATCACTAATCAATAAACAACGAATTACCTTCGATTTCTTTGAACGATTAGCTCTTGCCCTGGGTTTGGAATGTTTAGCTGTTAAAGTAAATTTAACAAATAGAAACTCATCTTACCAAGTTGGTACTGATCAAATTCAAGGAACTTCGATGCCATACTATTCCGTAAAACTTTTGGCATACCTCTCAAACTTGAATTTCCACTTATCATCTTTAAAGAGATTATTACTTTTTTTCGAACTTACTGCATAGTATTCGGCAACTTCTATCCAGTCTGACGGTGTGCGAATACAAGAAGAAAAGTACTTCTTAATAAAAGATCGAGACTGCTCACTACAGCTAGCAACAGCTATTAACATATTGGTTGTTGTACGTATATTCAACTCTCTACGGCAATACAAAGCTGCCTAAAATCTAACGTTTCTTAAAAATGTATAAAGTACTTTAAGTATAAATTCTGGATCTTTATCAATGCAAGAGTGAATTGATTGTCCCAAAACAATTTTCTTTTCTTTAGATGGACTGCCATCGACTATAGAGGAGGATATGCAGCTAATTAACTCTAGCTGCAAGTTTGAATATGTTAAAGAATGTATGATCACATACTTTCAGCTGTTTGTAGGTCTCTCTGCGTTCGTATGTCAGTAAATCACTAAATGTATTATGAATAGAATTGCTTTTCATAGAGTCATCAACCGTACATTCTAGTATATTTTGAAAACCAGTATCTGAAATTTGGATTAAAGCGTCGTTTAACCAGTCGATAGGGGTTGATTCAAGTGAACTTGGAACACTTGTTTTTTTCTCCTCATGATGCTTATCATTGGGTCTGACTGTTACTTCGTGATTACAATGTAGGACTGAACCTGTATATGATAGACTGATGGATGATTTTAATGATTTGTTATCTAATGAGAGCGAAGAAAGTGTATTGGAAACTGAGGAAGTTTTGGTGAAACGGTCATCTAAAAGTTTGTTTTTCACTAAATTCTTTCCTTCCAAATATACAGGTGTTAACAATGAAGAAGGTCCTTTAAGATATCCAGATTCATGATCCATTCTCATAAATTACAAGCGCATTGGATTGTAATATAATCTTTGCTAGGAACTAATTAATATTAACTGAAAATGGTGGGAAACCACGAAAATTTACAGGAACCCAGTAAGGCAGATTCTGAAAAGAACAATAAAGAGAGTAAAATTGACGAACACATAGTATATATTCAATAAACAAGCCCTAAGAAAATACGCTTTTTGAAACCCAAACATGCTGATCGAGATATTTCCACCCAAACCACCGGTAAAAATCCTAAAAAGAGAAAACCGAGAATTCACTTATTGGTTGACGGTATGCTACAACCTTTGATCAGTTTTTTTAGGAAGTATCCATTGGTGAAAATTTTATAGACACAAGCAAAATATACTTTGAATGTTTGTATGAAATATAAATATCTTAAATACAAGGAAGTGTGATTACAACACTCATCATATCGCTAAACATTGATCATAAGTATAGATGCTATCCATTACTTTAACTGCGTCGTTCCCTCAGTAGTTATACTCGTTTACACAGAAACGTCAGAAATGAAATCTTTTTGTGCATTCATAACGTCTGCCAGCTGGCGCTGACTTGCGAGGTTAACGTAACTTATAATTAATCATTCATCAAAAAATGGAAATGAAGGGTAAGACAAGTTAGTTGAAGACGGAAACAGCCAGTATTCAACTCTCAATGCATTTGAAAACATCAACAGCAATTCCTGAAGCTACAAATTTGAAAATGTAGCACTGAAAACAAATTCAGTGGGTTTTACCCATAAGACTATCAGTCAGGCCATCAAGCCTCCTGTCTTTTTGAAACTGAAACTGTTGAGTAAAGTGAATACATGCAGTTTGATGATCACCGCTTAAGCGCTTTTTAAGACAGTTAATATCGTACTAAGGTGCGAGTGAAGTGAAAAAGGAAAAGACGATGTGAGATATTAGTTACTCCTAACGTGGATAACGATGCAATGACTATCGTTATCATTGATGGTAAACCTCTTCCATGCCTTCAAGAACATAAAGACTTAGGAGTAATAATAAGTCATGACCACAATTAGTTCTGCATAGTCATAAGTCTGGCTCAGTGAAGGTTGAATATCACTATTATTAACAAGGAAACGCATGTAACTAACTCTGCGGGTAACAGTCAGAAACCCAAAAATGTACCTTACGTGCGAGACCTTTATCGACCTTCAAAATGACTAATTAAAATAAATCATACATTGAACTTCAGGGTTTGTTACACAGAGTAGATGAACCTCAATTTTTCAAGATTTGTACCCCGGTAGTACTATTATAGTTGAAATCACGATAGTGGGTTATTCAGTATCATCTATTTTTGTAACGACTTTATATGAATCGATTGAATAATTGGGTGATCTTATCCGCAACGCAACCAATGTAAACTTAATGTATCGCACACTGTCATTTGTGCGTTCAAGTAACCACATATTTTGTCATTTCATAATGTATTTTTAATTAAATAACTAGATTATGTAGTTAATTTTTCTCTGTTTTTAATTTTTATTCGCCACGTCCGACTGCGTTACACTGTACGTCCATTGCACGCTGAAATGATATCTCAAGTCATAGTGATTTTATTCACATAGTTGATTGTTTCCAGATAGACTGTCAGTGCATGATTTTACTGAAGAAAGGTTTGTTGTACTGTAAACTGTGTTTCTATGATCAACTTCCTGTTGTCTTCAGTATGAATTCATACTGAATACTGCTTTAAAGCAGTATATATGTATCCTTCTTTTTTTCTTAGGTAAGTTCAACTGGCCTATATTTCGTGTTTTGGTTTTATCGGCTTAATTATGTCCATTTACCTACTTTGAGCAACATGTCTTTGCAAGTGAAACAATAACTATGACACTTGCTTAGTTTAGTGTTCTTGGTTGTCGTATAATTCAGTTTAGTTGAAAGAATTATGATATACTTAAGTATAGTGCTTGAAGCCTGTAACGAAACAGATCAGTTTAGTAAGTAGAGTTGCCTGCTTCTAATGTGTATACTGATTCAGATCAGTCTGATTAAAATTAGGAAAAAACGTGCCTTTGATGCTGTTGCTATCATACATTATAAGACAGCGATAAGTATGTTTGGTGTTTATTTCTAAACTGTACATCTATCACTGACCATATTTCATGATCACTGTCATTAAACAATTTCCCCATCAATAACATCGGTAGCAAGATAGCTAAGTGTCTGAGCTTTTAGTTGCCCGCAAAACAGCAGTATACAGTCTTAGAAGATGAGTGTTCTGTGTCTCAATTAAATGCAGCTGGCTGTGGACAAATGTTAAAAATCTTTTGGACAACTGGGACTTTTAGTTTATCATACACTTGCTCTGCTTGTATGTTTTCCTGTTAAACTAGACGCAGATGCATGGGAATACTTAAATAGGAGCAAAATAATAAAAGCATTGCAATACGGTACTAAGCCCATGTTATGCTTTGCGCAAGTAATAGTAGCTGACCTTATCTAATATTCATGAACTCAAGGTAAATCACAACTGCATAAATTCTTTGCTAAAAAACATATGATTTGGTTATTTATATATTCCACATTTCTGACTAAATTCATCACCATTTTTTCATTTAGAATGCAACAGAAGTGAGTCTTCACAGATCATAAAAACTGTTTCGCCCTTAGAACTATGGCCCTATGGAACTGTTTACGGGAGATCCAACGAACAGCAGATTATAAAAAGGATGCTGGACTTCCATTTTGGTCTCACAACCACTTCCAGTATTTTTTGACTTCTTTTACTCTTTCGTTTGGAAAAAAACAACAAAAACTGCAGCTTAACATTACCAATACAACTTTTAAACGGGAACTTGGTTTAAACCTTTGTTTGATATTCGATTCTTAATGAAAGTTCTTGAATAAATTTCTGAATCTAATGCTACTTTGTTTTATCTACTTAATCGTTGCAAGAAACTTGTGATAAGCGAGCCTCTCAGCACCTAGTTCATGTGTTCAAATGGTTGTGGACTGAATAGAAGCTTTCGCTTAACAGGCTTCCGTGTCTAGTAGCAGGGGATCACCAATACCTCAAGGCAGAAAACTAGGTATGTTAACAATAAAAGAGGAAAAAGAAATTGATAAATCATAGTATGATACTATACTTAGTCCTTAAGAATAAACCCAGTTGCCTCTTAAAGGACTCCTGCGAAGTCGCTTGGACTAGCTCGGCCGGCAGAAAATCCCAGCATTTGACAACTCTTAAGGAGAAGTTGTGCCTACAGTCCGTTCTGCTATGTTGTGTCTCTAGTTTCTGGGTGTTACCCCTTAGGTTAGTGTCGGAACTAAGCTTAATTAGGTGTTTTAGGGGATGTCCAGAAGTGTTAAGGTTATTGTAAGCCATTAGGTCACCTCTAAGACGTCTATACTGTAATGAGTAGAGGTTAAGTGATTTGGTGCATATCCTCGTCATTTCCTTGGGAGACCTACAGACTCGGGTCCTCTCATAGCTTATTCTAACCACCATGGGTTGTCACACCAGCTGATGGATGGACACGCGTTACACATCCTAACCGTACCTGCATCTTATCTTATAGCTTCTAATTCAAATGCCATATGACAAGCAAGCAATGCCCCTACTCGCACTTATGGAACACTAGTAACTCAAATGCACCCCGTATGGTACCTTACACTGGTTTACGCACTTGCTTAGCTCTTTAGTGAAAATCCCATGAGCCCCCCTACCTCCATCAAAACAAATAAATCTATATTTGCAGCATATAGCAATTTTATTATTCAAAAGTAAGATATAACAGTTAGAATTGAAGTAAAATGGCAGTATAGAGCAGATGCACGTGGTACATGTCTTCATCGATTAACTGAAATAGAGAATATGGATATTAGATTAATAGCCTTATTTAGAAAGACTAGTGTCTAATTTGAACTTACTGCGTGAGAAAGTTATACTGGAACTACGAATGCTGTAGAAATAGTTTCTCGGGGCGTACGAAGCACTCAGACTGTAAGACAGTTGTCTAAAAATAATTCGAATATGGAGGTGAAAATTTGCAGGTACTTTTCATCTTGAGGGTGAACATATTAGGTACCAGTTGAAATCATACCGTAAGAAAACGCATATTTGCGAGTGGTGAAATACGATCTATAAAAAAGTGAGCTTAATAACAGTTAATTACCTTTTTACTCCCTGATCATGACCCTTCGGCTACCTTTTATGGCCAAAACAGCAAACATACACTAGACACTGGTAGCAGATTTCCGGCTTTTCAATGTTAAGCTTGCTTTAACGCACTGAGTAGTGAGTACAACCCCTCTATTACTGTTATATGGTATATTTTTCATAACAAACCCTCTGCAATAGATTGGTAGCATCTGTGACTTCATCTATAGTTGTCGGAAGTCTGGGTCCTTTCGAAATCAGTACCGATATACCCTACTGCTGGGCACTCTGTATTAGTTTGACTCGTTGGTGGAATAGTGTTGTCCATAATACTGGAGAAAATTAAAAAACGCAGATTGTTTCCTTTCATTTTGCCGATAACATCATAAAGGATAGTCAGGAACGAACATGCGAACAGTTAGAGTCACAGGCGGCAGCAACAATTATTTTAGCTAAATAAAAACGAACTTCGACTTCGGATACCTAGAAAACAAGATAAAACATAACCGATTGTCGTTCGAAAACGTAAGGTTTTATGTTAGTACTAGCCAGCTTAGCTGAATAAATACAGTGACTTCATTAGCAGCAGATAAAACCCAGAAAACAAAGCAAAATCAGGAAAAACTTTGCTCCAACGTTCAGAGTATTACACTAACTTTTGAATTTTAGCACACTGAAACATCAAATTCCGTAGCTACACAAAAGAAATAGCTGAAAGAAGCACAGAACGAAGAAAGCCGACCGCCATTGCTTACGAAGATGGCGGATGTAATAATTCCCGCCTCATTCTGATTGGTTGCTAAGCTGAAGGGCACATTTACGAAATTGAGTTGCGTTTAATTGCAGCCGAATAATTCGCTCTCAGTTTTCAGTAATAAGGATAGGAGGTCTATCGACCTATATCAATCCTTGCAGTTTGTAATACTGTGGAGGTTCAATCTCACTTTGAACATATTAGTAGACGGTAGAGAATTCCAGTAATTCACTACTCGGTGCGAGAAACGAAACTCCAGACCTAAACGATTTGATCTCGGTTTTTGAACTTTCTTCGGATGTCCTTTCAAATGATCGGCCCTAGACGGAAGCAAAAGATAAAACATATTAATACCAAGGTCATCGTTCAGTTTACGATAAGCCAATATTAGATCACCCCGTATTCTACGGTAAGATAACGGAAATAAGTTAAGACGTCTCAATCTGTCTTCATAAGATAGGCCAGATAGACCTTATGCCATCTAATTACCTCGTCTTTGGACTCTTTCCAGCATATCCGCTTCATACCTAAAACAAGGACACGCTGCTGGAATCCCGTATTCCAAATGTGGTCGCACATAAATCGGGTATAGTAATCTAAACATTTCATCATCTAAATACTGGAAAGTCCTACGAATAGACCATAATACCCTATAGCCTTTTGCAGCAGCAGCCTTACAGTGACTAGTGGTTTTGAGATCATTGCTTAATATAACTCCTAAGTCTTTATAGTTTCTTGCATTGGGTAGCACGAATCCACGTAGTGTATAGTCATACGATTCATCAGAGTTATTTAACTGCATCACTACACTCTTATTAGGATTTACTTCTAGTGACCACCTGTCTAACCATGCCACCAATGAGCTAAGATCGTCCTGTAATACTATTCTATCCGACATACTATGTATGGGTCTCCAAATCTTTATGTCATCAGCGAAGAGTAGAACGGATGATTTTGCTACAGTTGGCAATTCATTTACATAAAGTAAAAAGGGAATAGGACCTAGGATTGTGCCTTGGGGAACCCCACTTTTTACAGGTACCAGGTCTTTTGCAATGTCTAAAGAGTGGTGATCTAGCCACTTGACTACACTGGTTTACGTCAATTCTAAAGTTATTTGTGAGTTCGCGTATCTTGTATTTTCAGTGAGTATGTTTGCCTCAGAACAGTTGAGTTTCTGAAACCAGCAGACATCACAATAACAGAAATGAGATTCGTGGAATCTAATAAAGGGATAATTCGGACTTTTCACATTCACTCCGCAACT